GTAGCTTTTGATTTGGTGACTCAATATTCTGACCATTTGGATTCTCTATCTCAGGAGGTCTAGGATTTAAATCATTAACTCCAGCATTTACATTTTCTGACTCCAGACAACTTGGTTCACTCATATCAACAGAACTTGGTTGTGGAACAAACTGAGTTGGTGTGAACTGTTCAGATTTGGTGGGATTGACAGATTCACACTTATTATCTGCACAAGTTATTTTTAACTGTCTGCATGTCTACGGACAATAAGTCCATCATTTGTTTTTACTTTATAAGACACAGGTCCTGTACATTGAACAATTTGACCTGGTATCCATTTTTCCTTTCTCCCATAATTTCTTAGATACACATTCTTATTAACACCAAATTCTCTTTCAATGCATGAGTTGTCATGATTTAATGGAACTATTTTTGAATTGGCATCTGAAAGTATTAAATGGCAAAAAATCTTTTTTTTTTCTTTTGATGTTACCCTTTTAGTTTCTGTAAGTGCTAATGATGTTAGCAAAGTTGTTTGATGATCACATTCCTTCTTACTAATGTATTCTCTTTAAAACATTTGAAATTGCCATATCACCATAATCATTTATTAAGTTACAAGTACTTTGTTTAGGCAACTCTGACTGATAATGGACTGCATCTTCTCCATCTTTTATATTATCTTCACAAAGGGTTTTAATTTCTTATTTTATATGGCCTTAAGTCATCATTCACAGACTCTTCAGGCCAACCATTCATACAGTACTCATATACTTTTATTAAGCACTCATCTTTTTGTGTTTCTCTTTTAATATCATTCACATCTATATTGGAGTTATCCATGATAGTGAAGAGAACAAATACATCTTCTGGTACATAGCTCAGGCTCTGGTTTTTTAAAGGTAATCTACTAAGACTATCTGCACTATTCTCAGATCCAGGTTTGTATTTCAATTCATAATTGTATGCAGTTAGTGTGATAGCCCATCTTTGAATTCTTGGTGAGGCATGCTCAGGTAGGGTTTTGTTTTCTCCAAATAAACCTAGCAATGGTTTATGATCTGTAAAGATGGTGAACTTCCTACCAAACAGAAACTTATGAAATTTCTTAACACCAAAAATGATGCCTAAGCCTTCCCTATCTAACTGAGAATAATTTTTCTCAGCCTGGTTCAAAGATCTACTGGCAAAAGCAATGGGTCTGTCACCCTTCTCATCCATGTGGGACAAGACTGCTCCTACACCATCTGGTGAAGCATCACATGTTAATATAAGTCTTTTCCCTGGGTCATAGTGAGTTAGTAAGGTGTCAGAAGACAAAGCCTCTTTTGCTGTATTAAAAGCAGTATCTTGTTGTTTACCCCAGTGCCAAGTTGCATTTTTCTGTAGCAGCTTGTACAGTGGTGATAGTTTACCAGACAGATTTCCTATGAACTTTGCATAGTAATTTATTAAGCCCAAAAAAGCTCTTAGTTGTTGGGTATTTTCAGGTTTGGGTGCTTCTTTAATGGCTTTTGTTTTCTCAGGTTGAGGTCTGATGCCTTGTTTGCTCAATATATAACCAAGAAAACTAATTTCTGTCAGCATGAATTGACATTTATCTTTGTTTATCTTTAAACCTTTTTCACCAACAATTTTCAAGACTTTATCAAGTGTTTTAAGATGTTCAGTGTCATTCTTACCAGTTATGTACACATTGTCAAAGTACACACAAACATTTGGAATATCCTTAAAAATACTGTCCATGACAGCTTGGAAAATTCCAGGGCTAGATGATATGCCAAAACATAGTCTTTCATATTGGTAGAGTCCTTTATGTGTGTTTATTGTCGTATAGACTTTTGAATCTGGATGCAGTTCTAGTTGAGTGTAAGCATGACTAAAGTCTAATTCAATGAATTTGTCTCCTCCTGCCAAATTCAAAGAAATTTCCTCAATGTTAGGTATAGGGTACCTATTTAGCTCTATTTGCTTATTCAGTGTAGTTTTATAATCTCCACAAATTCTTATAGAACCATCCTTCTTTAACACTGGCACAATGGGCGTTGCCCAATCGGAATAGTCTACCTTCTTTATAATGCCATTAGATTCCAATCTACTTAGCTCATTTTCAATTTTATTCCTCATTGCATAAGGTGGAACTCTAGCTTTGCAGTATCTTGGATTTGTGTCTTTAATGCTTAACTTCACTGTTCTATCATTTAGTAATCCTGGATTACCAAAAACACATTTATTTTTAGATATAACTCTATCTAGTGAAGTAAGACTAGATTCATTTACATTCTTCAATGAACAAATACTCTCCCAATTTAACTTAAGATCACTTAACCAGTTCCTACCTAGTAATGGTGGTCCATTTCCTTCAACCACAAGAAGAGGAAGTTTAACACTTTGACCATTATAACTTACATGAACCATACACTCTCCTATTACCGGAACATTGTCACCAGTGTATGTTGTTAGACACTTGTGACACGGCTGTAGAGGCACTGATCCTCCTGTGACAGCGTCAAAATCTTTCTTTGTTATGACTGTTAGAGATGCTCCAGTGTCAAGTTGGAAGCTGATGCTCTTACCGTTGATATAAACTGGTACATTGATGGGAGCATGACTTATTGATTTCACAGAGAACAGGCTGAAATCCGGCTGCGAATCAGTTTGAGAATTTTCACAGGTATAGTGGTTCATTGGTTGGGTTAGGTAGTCTTGGTGAGAGTTAACATAGTGCTGCCTTTGGTTGCGGTACTGTCTTGACTGGCTAGATTTAGCAACAGACGAAGACTTTGCAAAGCAGGCCTTGGCAATGTGACCTTGCTTACTGCACTTATAACAAGTTGCAGACTTGAACTTGCATCGATGAGATGCATGGGGACCTTTGCATCGATGACATTTTTGATAATTATTACTAGATTTAGATCTAGGATTAGAACGAGCAGGCTGTTTAGCATAAGTTGGAATGCTCTGATGGGGTTGATGTTTATTGACTAACCTGCTGTTTACTGCATGGATCTCTGAAGGTGCTAAAGATCTCGCCGCATCAGATGACTGCTGGAATGAAATTGCAAGTTGTATTGCTTTTTCCAATTTTAGATCTGACTCGAGCAGCAACTTTCTTTGAATATCAGGGCTGTTTACACCTGTCACAAACTTTTCACATAGTCTGTCAGACAGCGTATCGCCGAATTCACAAAATCTACTTAAATGACGTAAAGCAGCAACATATTCTGATATTGACTCGTTTGGTTGACGAGTCCTACTGTCAAATCTAGCTCGACATAGAAACTTTGATGGGGTAGGCGCATGGTGGTCTGTTAGCAATTTGCTCAGCTCGTTAAAGCTCTTGGTAGTTAGACTAGCTGGTGCGCATAAGTCCTTTAGTAGCCTAAATTGTTGAGGCCCTATGACTGTTAACAAAACAGCTCTCTTTTTGGCTTCTATCGTCACGTCGTTTGCTTCAAGGTAAAAGCTTAACCTATCTAGGTAATCTTGAATGATTTCATCATTCGCATCAAATTCTTTTATTTGGCCATACAGCGCCATTATTCTAGAAATACTTAGCTAATAAGCTCTAGCAAACCTCTTTTTTGCGTAAGTAGGTGCTCTTTCTAGTAGATTTTCATCCTCGTCGTCAGATATAATAGATTGACGATAGAAGCATGTGGTTGTATATAACGTTTATTGGGTCTAACTACATGATGGTACCACACAGAGAGGACGGAAGGAAGTACAATGCACAAGGGACATCACTCAAGATAACAAAATAAATATAATACTAATACAGAAGAGTGAGTTCCCTTGACCTCACAATTATCTCAATCTATTACACACCCGATATCTGCCCTGAATCAAAGTGGGGCACCCGATATCTGCCCTGAATCAAAGTGGGGCACCCGATATCTGCCCCGAATCAAAGTGGGGCACCCGATATCTGCCCTGAATCAAAGTGGGGCACCCGATATCTGCCCCGAATCAAAGTGGGGCACCCGATATCTGCCCCGAATCGCAATTAGCGGAGTCGAGTGTGTGTGACAGTGTCAGCAGTTTAAAACTTATGACTCCGGTCAACGCTGACTAAACATTGTGACATAAAGAATCGATAACCCGCTTCACGAAATTGTAACCCCGAACTACACACTTCTGTCGATCACGTGACTACCGTATCTAGCTGTGTGTCGTCTGATAAACCGGCTGAGACAATGCCCTAGCCACTGTCTGAGTAATACGTTGAACTTTTGCTCTAGTAAATTAACATGTCTGTGTCTCTATATTAGCACACCTTGATAGCCTCATAAAATAAATCGGCACTAGAGTGTTTTATTTTAATCAATGTCTATTACAATTTATTAAAACATTTTTCTAAAACGCGAAATAACCGCTAAAATTCTTTTTTTTTTGTAACATTACTTTTTTTTAAAGCAAAAGTGTGACGCCACACTATCTGAACCCCCATCCCTTCTTCACACACCTTCACAAAATTACGGACCCCTCCTTCACCCCATCTCCCCCCTTTTGGAACGTGCGCCAACCTTGGGAAGCACGGAAGTTAGGGGAGACGCGAAACGTGTGTTTGTGTGCGTTTGTGTGTGTGTGCGCGCGTGTGTGTATATCAACATTATTAATATTCAATATAAATATTTCTATTCAACTATTTTATGATTACTATTTACTGAGTTACGTCCCTTCTACTATTTATAAAATAACTATGGGGAGCAACTTATCACTTTATCTATAACTGGTAAGAACAAAGAAAACTTCATGGTAATTAATTATAGATGCAAATAACATCTAATTATGTTTTATGAAATAACCTTTACCAATTCTGGTGAGTATTCAAGAAAATATAAAATAATTGCCTTTAATTTTAATAGGAAAGTATTAGCTTTAGTAAAAACGTAATTTATAAATATGGAAAATGTATAGGAGCCTAAATAAAACAGCCAGTATTAAAGAGATGTTGAGCGTTCTTTTAAAGTGTTCGTTTAGATGTTTTATTAAAAAAAAAAAAAATGTTTTATAAAAACCCTAAGTGATACTCTTTCAGAATTTTATCTTAATTACAAAGTCAAAATGGCCCAGAAAACAGAAGGGATTCAGCAACTTCTAATCGCAGAGAAAAAAGCATCAGAAAGAGTAGTCGAAGCAAGAAAACGAAAAGCTCAGAGAATCAAAACTGCAAAAAAGGAAGCAGATTCAGAAATCCTAGCCTTTAAAAACGAGAAGGAGAATCACTACAAACAGTATGAACAAGAGATCCTTGGCAAAAAAAGTAACAGTGAGGCACAGATTCAGGTAGAAACAACTAAAAAGTTTAAAGAGTTGGATGTCATGCTGAAACAAAACCGTGCTAAAGCTATGGACGCTATTCAACAAAGTCTCTTTAGGATAGAAGTGCAACTTCATGAGAATGTTAAGCTGTAAATTTAGTCTTCTGTACCTTTATCTGTATATTTTATGTAAAGGGTAGAATTCTTAATGTTTATTTAATTATTGACACAGACAGCTCATGCTTTTAATTTATTTATCCTGCAGATACAATTTGTTTAAACATCTACTCTTCTGCATTTATTTTTCAACATTACATAATTTGTTTCCTTCTAGAAAGTTAGGTATATCTATTTGCAGGTAAGATATTTATTAGCCTGAATTTGATTGTTAATAGTATGTGATAATGTGTAGATAAGTCTCTGTGATAGCCGAATAATTGATTGGTATATCATTTTAGTTTTAGTGAATTGTTAGGTAAAAAATAAAATTACTCCTGCCATAACTGAAGAGGTGGAGACCAAGGCATTGTTAGTAATTTAGTTGAAGCTAAATATTGTGAGCATCTGTTTGTACCTCTAGTTATACTGACTTGCACACATGGGTTTTTTCATCTATATACACTTGTATCTCATTGTTATTCGGAGTTCACTTATTCATTAAGATGTTTATTTATATGACTAGGTTTGGTGGCATTGAATGCATTGTATCTGGAAACTTGATTAAAATCCTTTGTTTTTAGTCACATAAAAAAAAAAAAAAAAAAAGATGTTTTATAAGCTAATTAGATTTTTAATCTTAGCTCTTTTTAATTCGGCCTGTTCAACTATTACTAGAATCTAGATCTGGACTCTGGCAAGACCAGTACCAGCAGTTTAGCAGACTAGATTTTCTGGTACTGGCCAGGTTCAGGCTAGATAACTCATGATAACTGGTTGATGTTGAGTTACAGAATAGATCTTAAAAAATTCTAAGATCTTCCCTACTGGCACATTCATTGTCTTGTTATTGCCCTATCTACCAAACAGAACAGCTTAACTATTTTTTAAAGAAAATACAAAACTATGCCAGGAACAGAATATGTTGCTCAGGTCACAGATGTTGATATCAAGTGGAAAGTCAGTATGGCAGTTAGCAGTAATGATGTCAGAAGCTTAAATGAACCAATGGTAACAATGATGTTGGTGACCACTGAAGAGAGTGGAAATGCAGTCAACAGACCAGTGGAAATTACCATAACAAAATTCAAGGAATTATTGAGTACAATGAAACAAATACAGAATCAGATGGAATTAGCCAAACTTGTATGACAGCAGCTACATTTAGTCATATTATATATATATATATACTATATATATATATATATATATATATATATATATATATATATATATATATATATATATATATATATATATATATATATATATATATATATATATGATTCTGCCAGTTAAATATTATGGAAGAACTATATGAAAAGCATATAATGTTAAAATACAAAATACATTCTTTTTATTGGAGTGTATTCCCAACTGCAACATTTAAAATTAAAGAGTTTTAATGGCGCTTAGAAACCCACTTTGTTTAAAATATTTATAGTAACACAGATATTTCGCACTCAGATTTATAAGCCTACTTTTATAAGCTGTTACTGTCAATTATGTTGTGTATTGTTTTTATTTATTTAATTTGCTTAAGTTAATACGCTTAATAGAAAAAATATGTTTTGCATTTTGTTCAGTATGTTTTGACGACCAGTAAATATTATCATTTTACTGCAGCGATTAAAGTGTTTAATGATTTTCGTTTGGTTTGTAATAATTTGAGTTTAGCAGCAATAGCTCCACAAGTAATGCATATTTATATAAGATCTGAATTTTCAATTGTAAACTCACCATTTTTTTTGAAGAGATAATTGTACTTTTCAATGATAAAACAAAACAATCTCAGTTTCTTAAATAATTTACAAAGCTAATAAATGACACAACGGCATTAGTTGTTGCTGAGTACAAGTAGTTGCTCCAATAAGATTTCCACACATTTGAATGGGATATTGTATTTCTATTCATAGATTCAGTTATACAGACATGTTATTGAAGCTGTTTTTGTGTGAAATTAATGTCCAGCTTTATTTAAACTATAGACTTGTAGGACATTTTTCAAAGATTGTTCCTATTATTAGGTTAAAACTTTTACTCAACATTCTGTTTGAAACTTAATAACAAATCTTTTAATTTATAATTAGTGTTTAATTTATTTTAAAAATCTGTATTCATATATCAAGAATGAAGCTGATAATAATGTTGACAAGAAGCTTACATTCTTTGATATCTTCTGGCGGGCATTAAAAAGAAACAGCAAATTAAGTCATGATATGTTTTTGTACCACATTTTCTCTTCGCTAATCATCACCTAGATCTGCATGTACAAGATGTTAATCTTTCATTTTGGAAATGTATTATTTAATTTATTAAACAGTTTTGCTACATTCTTAAAAATAAAAAAAAAAGCTACTTCTCAGTAATTCATAATTTGAGAAGTCGACTGTACCAATGCTGCCACTGAAAATATTTGCTTTAAAATACTATCACTGATAGTTATCGTCCTTAACGAGATACTGATAGTCATGGGGGGAGAGGGGGCGGTAGATGCATGGAAAAAATTCTGGTGCCTGGCCGGCTAGTTTATAATTATTTATATATATATATATAAATATGTATATATATATATATATGTTAGGGGGATTTAGTTGTTCGAGAAAGAGGGATCATCTGCGATCCCACTTCTGACACCAAAATGTAAGGGGATGGTTGTTTTTGTTAACCGATTAAAAGAGAGACATGTTAAGATGGTATTGACCATTATTCTCTCAAATCCGTGCACCTTTGCGTGGTGACAAAGGAGTCTAATAGACCTGAGCAAAACTAATTAACATCTAAACAAATACAACATTAATTTTACACTAAAAATAAAACTTGGTAAACAACCAGTTAATGCATTTATTTAACTTCATCCTACTTCACAAAAAAGGTATTTTACAAGCAAAAAACGAAAGGATACAAATAAGGCCTGGCCAGTTTTCATAATCAAGGAAACATCCCTCGAATTCTTAATACATGGTAAGGTGGTATTGACCATTATTCTCTCAAATCCGCGCACCTTTGCGTGGTGACAAAGGAGTCTAATAGACCTGAGCAAAACTAATTAACATCTAAACAAATACAACATTAATTTTACACTAAAAAAAAAACTTGGTAAACAACCAGTTAATGCATTTATTTAACTTCATCCTACTTCACAAAAAATGTATTTTACGAGCAAAAAACAAAAGGATACAAATAAGGCCTGGCCAGTTTTCATAATCAAGGAAACATCCCTCGTATTCTTAATACATGGTAAGATGGTATTGACCATTATTCTCTCAAATCCGTGCACCTTTGCGTGGTGACAAAGGAGTCTAATAGACCTGAGCAAAACTATTAACATCTAAACAAATACAACATTAATTTTACACTAAAAATAAAACTTGATAAACACCCAGTTAATGCAGTTATTTAACTTCATCCTACTTCGCAAAAATGTATTTTACCAGCAAAAAACAAAAGGATACAAATAAGACCTGGCCAGTTTTCATAATCAAGGAAACATCCCTCGAATTCTTAATACATGTAAAAAAAAATAAATCACATTTTTATATACAACCACAATTTTATCCTTTCAAGAATTTATACGAGTTCCTTAAATGACCCGGTTCGTCACACACAAAAGGCAGGGTGATTCCCCAGCCACAAGGACAACATATCCGTCCTCCAAAACAAACATCTGGCCACTGGATCGAGACATCAGGCAACGAGCATAATATCAGGCCACAAGAACGAGACATCAGGCAACGAGCATAATATCGGGCCACAAGAACGAGACATCAGGCCATGAGCATAATATCGGGCCACAAGAAGGAGACATCAGGCCAGGAGCATAATATCGGGCCACTGGAACAAGGTGTTGGGCCGCTGGTGTAAACACCAGGCCATATCAACAATACCTCAGCTGGGCCACTAAACCAGCCTCTGCGGCCATAATAAGGCCTAGACTGGTCTATAGCCCTAGCTTGGTGTGTAAGAGACAGAGGTCTGAACACAGTCCTCTTAAATAGGCTGAATCCAAACAAACTTTTTCCCATACTTTCCGACCACCTGTTTGACAAGAACTGACCGTCGCGACCTTACGGTCGTAAATTTAAGCAGACGACCATTGGGGAGACAGGACATAAAATTGAACACAAAGCATGCACACACCTAGGGTCCGGTCACAATCCACGACTGTGAACCTCGTAAATTATCCGTGACACCGTCACACCCTGCCAGAACCCAGTGCCGTGAGAACCGGGCGGCGTCTTGAGAGAAGGGGAGGGGGGACCATTACCCCGATCCAGCTACGACCAACCACGAATATAACTACACACAAAAAACAAGCAACCTTTGACAACTATTCAATAACCAGCCAACATTAGGATACCAGCCAACATATATACACTTATATATACACATAAATATACACATAAATATATATACATATACACACATATATATACACATAAATATACATAAATATACATATATCGTACATTTACACTTATGTGCTCGCTTTTAAGCAACAGATCTTTTCTGTTGTAAATTAAACATTATCAAAACTTTAGAATTGGTGAAATTTAGCTGTTAAGGGCTCGCTGTGTTTGTGAATTAATGTTGGTTCATGAAAAACAATTTCATTCGGGCATTTAAAAGAGTATATAGTGGTATTGGAGGTAGGACAAAATCGTTACTTTTATGCCAATAGTGGTCATGCCATTCATTGGTCTGGAGCCAATATGTCGGGAGTCATTTTGTCAAAAGCCAATATAACGTGAGCCGATTTGTCTTGAGCACTTATATCGGGAGCCAATATGTCGGGAGACGCTTTATTTTAGAAACATATTTATGGCAATCATCACATTCATCTGGCTTATCTCCAGTATGGACTGTTTTATTTTTTCTAGAAAAATATTTATGGCAATAATCACATTCAAATGGTTTATCTTCTGAATGAACTTGTTTGTGTGTATATAAACTATAACTATATGAAAACTTTTTATGACAAACATCACATTCAAATGGTTTATCTCCTGAATGAACTCTTTTGTGTCTATATAAACTACAACTCTGAGAAAACTTTTTATGACAAACATCACATTCAAATTGTTTATCTTCTGAATGAACTTGTTTGTGTGCATATAAATTAGCACTATGTGAAAACTTTTTATGACAAACATCACATTCAAATGGTTTATTTTCTGAATGAACTCTTTTGTGTCTATATAAACTAGAACTCTGAGAAAACTTTTTATGACAAACATCACATTCAAATTGTTTATCTCCTGAATGAACTCTTTTGTGTGTATATAAATTAGAACTATATGAAAACTTTTTATGACAAACAGCACATTCATGAGGCTTATCTCCTGAATGAATTTTTTTATGTTTACTTAACCTAGAACTATCTGAAAACCTATTATTACAAGCATCACATTCAAGTGGCCTCTCCCCTACTTGAGCTTGTTTATTCAAGTTAGATCTTTGAAAAAACTGTTCATGATGATCAACAGACAGATATGTTTTGTCTTCAGAGAGTTTTAGCTTTTCTTCAAGTCCATTTTGTTGTTTGTCCTCAGAATCTAAAAATTTTGTCCATAAATCTAGTTTTATATCTATGTTGGTTGATAAAGTTTCTAATTCTGTTATTATATCTTCGCTAGTTGATAAAGTTTCTAATTCTCGTTTTAGATCTTCACTAGTTGATATATTTTCTAATTCTGGAATTGTATCTTCAGTAGTTGATAAAGTTTCTAATTCTGGTTTTATATCTTCACTAGTTGATAAAGTTTCTAATTCTGGTTTTATAATTTCAGATCTTGTACATACTGCTGATACAGCAGGTTCCATATCTTTAAAAATTAAAAATCCTGTTGTTTTATCTTGAGAAGTTAGAAATGTCATATGGTGTTTTACATCATCAAAAGAGGAAAATGTTGTACATTCTGACTTTGTGTCTGTAGAAGATGAAAAATCTGGCGTAACAACGGTTTTATCATTCTGTGAATTTATAAATGTCATGTTTGGTTTGATATCACGGAAAGTTAAAAATGATAATTCTGTTTTTATGTCAGAAGAAGTTGAAAATACTGTAGATAGAAGTGGCTTCACGTCTTCAGAATTTGAAAATTCTTTAAACTCATCAGACTGTAAATCTAAATCAGCAGTTGCCTCTCCCATGCTGCTTCTTATAAATGAACTGAGGATTAGATATTTAAATGTTAAAGTGGTGATTATATAGATCTAGTAACTATAGTCAAAACAAAGTTTTTTTAATAAAACTTCTCAGATGGCGGATTTTGGTAGAAAATAAAATCAAACTTAAATTTTTTTTATTTTATACAATATTTGTACAAAATTAACATGCCATGCTTTTTAAATTGACAGAAGGTAAGTATACCATGTTACAAAAACTGCAATCATAACAATTCATATTTTCACTTTAAAAAATGAAAAAAAAAAAAACAATCATCAATGAGGAAAGCACAATGCTTTATGTTTTTAAAATATGGGGCCACATGACAAATAATAAATCTGGCCAAATGATTGGCTTTGGGCGCAGCACACATCTAAACGCGCCTTGTTTTTCGCAAGATAATAATTAATTGGCATTAATCGGGAGGGGGGGGGGGTATATGACTGACATAGTGACCACACCTAAGGACATGAGAATTATTCCCAAACCGTTGTTTAATCATACACGGCATAACATTAGAATCATAGTTTTGAAGTTTATTTGATTGTAAGTTCATTTTAAAACAAGAATATACAAAGCTACTTTCACTAAAGTGTCGCTTGCGAGATAAATAAAGAAATTAGGTCAAAAGTACACCTTACTATTCTTAATTAACAGACTAAGGTAATCTATGATTTTATGTACATAAAATCTGCAGAGGCTAGTAATGTTAAAAAGCCAGTAGTGATCTCCCCTAAGCTTTCTCGAATATTCTTATATAACACTACGGGGGATTGGCAACTCAGGATATACTATATATAGACATGATTTTTAAATCCATGTTTAAGTACTTAAACTTTTAAAATTAGAATAGAATCTTGTAGAAAAAAAGAATTGCACACCAAAGAAATGCGAAACAAAATGTGTATAATAGTGCGGAATATTATTAGTACTTTATATATTCACAAGCATTTTTGAGAAATTAGAAATAGCGTCCATTACTACTTCTGGTCAACGGAAATTACTCTGAATTTGAAAGAAGGTGGAAAATTAGATCTTTTACTTACATATGAAATTTCATTTGGCTATCTAAAACAGAACTCAAGTTATAGGCTTTTGAAAAATTTAAAGTAGAATTAGTTCCACTTCCGGTTAATCAGAAATCGCTGAAAAGTTGATACAGAAATAGAAATTTGATATAATGCTTATATATGAAATTTTATCAACCTAGCTGTAACTGTACTCAAGTTATCGTGTTCACAGAAACACATACACTGAAAGAATTGCAAAGCCCAGTTTTTCAGACTCGATTATGCATAAAACGTGTAGACAACAGGAATATGCAAGTGAAATAAAGATCAATTTAAAGAAAAAGAATTTATAATTAACTTAATTAAGCCCAATTAAGGTGTGTGGTGCAGTTCTACAATGATTGTCGCAAGTCACTTTTAATACTGCATATATATGTTGCTATTGATGATATAAAGATAAAACTTAGCACATTGATGCTTAAGGATGTTGGAAATAGAAACTTACAAGTTTAATACATGCTAGAAGAAAAAGACAATCACATATAATGAAGTCTAACTAAGGGGGTGGGACTGAAATTTTGCATCAATAACACCTGGGTATTATACTCATACTGAAATATGATATGTTTAGGATTATGTTGAAGTATCTAATTATTAGTAGCATTAGTTGTAGGCTACTTTTAATAAGTAGCCAAGGATTGCTAATCAATAAATAGTGTAACAGAAACTAGACGAGATGTGTGGCAACCAAAGGATAGACAGATGCCTTATTTGCTGATCTGAACCTACTAGATTCTATATAAAAAACATTACTGTTGTTTAGTTTGTTATTTTTAAGTAAAATTAAATCACATTGTTAAAAGTGTTACTGTTTCTGTTTTCTTTTTGACTTTTAAAAAAAATGTATTACTGTTGCTTTAGACTTTAGATCACATGGTTAAAGTGTTAAATGTTCCTATTTTATCTTTGACTTTTTTTTTTTTAAATTCCATTGCCTCTATACTGTAGTACTATATTTTAATTATTATTTCTAGACTATTTGATTTTTATTTTACTCATTGGTTAGGCTATAAATATAGACTACTAATAAAAAGTTTAAAATTTAAATGGAATTTGTTTAGACTGGAGAGCAATATTTATTTAGATCTATAGGAATCTAGGACCTATTTAAAATTTTAATTATTATTTACCCTATTGAGTCTATTAATGAATGGGACTATTAATTCCAATGCTTTAAATTTTATTTAATCCATAAAAAAGCTATTTTATAAGCTTAGATCTTGCCAATTCAATAAACACTGTTAAATAGCAATAATGTGCGAATTTTTTATTTCATGCCTATGGGCCGTCATGAAAATTCTAACTCGGCCGCCATTAATAAAATTGCGTAGATCTATATCACTTCACGCAAGGAGCAATATCTCATATATAAGGAGCTCTAAAGCCCATAAAACCAACATTTCCATCCATCAAAATGGTTTGCATTTACTTATTTACTAGTTTCCTGTACTTATTCTCTTTTTTTTAAGGTGAAATTTAGTTCTGAAAGTAGCGGTTCGGTACTGCGCGGTTTCAATCGCTTTTCGCTATCATAGTTAGGTCGCTTTCAGTATCGAGTATTGTTAAATGACAGCTAGTTCTATCAATGAAACATTTAAATGATAAAATTCAACGCATATGATAGTAGGCCTATCGAATATATTTAATTTTTCGATTCTGATGCCTAGATTAGCATTCATCAGAACGGCAAATTTTTTCAAGTACGCTTGAAAAAGTCCGGATGTAGTTTGGATTGCAAGATGGCGGCGAATCGAAAAGCCAACACATTACTAGCTGCGTTGGAATTTACGACGCTAAACTAAGATTTTACCTTATATTCTACCCTATAACAGATAACAGAGTAGAAGTTAGATCTAGTTAGTTAGTAGTACTTAGAATTAGAAAAGTAGAAAACTAGAACTACTAGAAGTAGAAGAGTCGTCGTTGTGATGACTGAGTGATGTGTGTAAGCCGTCACTCAACAACAGTGACAACACCGGCTGACCGAGCCTCAGAAACGTAGGGAAGGCCCAATTATTTTTATTGCTTATGTTGCCTATGAACTATGATAGGCTATATTTATATACAGAATTGTAACTGCGTTCTTTTTTAGTGTCTTAACTTATACTATTATACTGTAAATGTATATTTACCTGGAAAGGAATCTTTAAAGATACTAGTTAAAATATTTTCATCTTCCACGTCTAGATCTATAACATCTGCCATTTTTGTTTGGGTAAATCTAAACTACGGAATTTTAGATTGTCTCCGCATAGTTTAGCTATGGTCTAAATACCGTACAAAATTTATTAGAGCTTGTAGGAAAAAAACCTTACAAAAACCTTTTAGATAGAAAAAAAAAAGGATTTTGAAACAACGAAAGGCTGAAAGTTATGCCACGAACAATACAATATACAATAAAATACATGCATCGGGTAGAAGGATAGGTAATTCTCATACGTTTATTTTAGCTAGACCATTGACTAAGACATCGGGGATGAATTTCGCCCTTAAAAATAACATTTTGATGTTTTAAAAATTAAAGCGTTCAAATATCTAAAATCTAAAAAAGCCCATCTTGTATCTATATCTTTAATGTTGATAGTCATGGATTTCAGGAAGAACAAGTTTTGTTTCGTTTTTTCCTGGTATATAGTTCCACCTTGAAGAAAAAAAGAACACACTTCATTGAAGTCATATAACTTTTAAAAGTTTTTCTTTTCATTAGAACCACTAAGATGTACATACAATGTCCATTTCCACATAAATGTCAAAGCAAATTTTCCAAAACTCCCCCAATGTCCATGCAATGTCCACCTCCCATCCCTCAATGGCTCGAATAACGAATAATGTCCATCCACCTCCCCAAAATGTTAACGAAATGTCCACCCACCTCACCAGAATGTCCAACGAAATGACCACCCACCTCCCCAAAATTTCCACCAAATGTCCATACTGCTCCCCAAAAAGTCCACAAAATGTCCACGAAATGTCTATCCACCTCACCAGATTGTCCAACGAAATGACCACCCACCTCCCCAAAATGTCATCGAAATTACCACCCACCTCCCCAAAATGTCCACGAAATGTCCACCCAACTCCCCAGAATGTCACAAAATGTCCACGAAATGTCCACCAACGTCCCCAAAATGTCCAACGAAATGACCACCCACCTCGCCAAAATGTCCACGAAATGACCACCCACCTCACCAAAATGTCCACGAAATGTCCACCCAACTCCCCAGAATGTCCACAAAATGTCCACGAAATGTCCACCAACGTCCCCAAAATGTCCACAAAATGTCCACCCACCTTACCAAAATGTCCAACGAAATGACCACTCACCTCCAGTCTCGCTTCTTTGGCTTGGACCACCTGACCATGACACCGTCCAGACGGTAGGGCTGAACGTTCGTGGCGTCAAAACTGGGCGGTCTCCGGGTCATCTTCAGGAGGTCCTGGGCATCAAAATGTGCCCACTCGTACACGGTGTCCTGTGAAATAACACACCTGTCAGGCTAGCTGGTTAACTTCGCGTCACTGTGTCCTGTGAAATCAACACACCTGTCAGAATAGCCGGTTAACTTAGCGTCACGGTGTCCTGTGAAATCAACACACCTGTCAGAATAGCCGGTTAACTTAGCGTCACGGTGTCAGTAGTATATTAGGTCCCTTTTGGACCGCAGGCGCAGGCGCACCAAGGATGCGCAAAGGATATATAGGAAAATACTCGGATGCGCAGGGGGATGCGCAGGCGCAGCCTGGGACAACGAGATATAGTAAAATACTCGGGATGGGGATGGGGAGCCTGGGACAACGAGATATAGTAAAATACTCCAGGCGCAGCAGCCTGGGACAATGAGATATAGTAAAACACTCCGGATGGGGATGCGGATGGGGATGGGGATGGGGATGCGGATGGGGATGGGGAGGATGCGCAGGGATGCGGATGGGGAGTAGGTCAGTAGGTCAGTAGGTCACCGGTGGTTACCTTGTGACGTAATCAGTGACCTAGTTACGTAATTTTAATGAGTTTTTAATTAGTTTTAATGAGTTTTTTAAATTTTAATTAATTTTTGACCTAGCTACGTAATTTTAATGTGTTTTTTAATTAATTTGATTTTAATTACTTTGTTTGTGTTTTGTTTGTTTATTTTTAATAAGTTTAATTAATTTGATTTTTATTTATTACATTTTTTAAATTTTACATTTTTTATTAATTAGTACGTAATTTGATTATTTGTTTGTATTTTGTTTGTTTATTTTTAATTAGTTTAATTTTTTAAATTTAATTATTTTAATTAGTTTAATTATTATTAACGAGTTACGTAATTGGAGTTTAATTTTTTAAATTTTTAAATTTTTTAAATTATTATTTTTTAATTTTAAATTTTATATTTGTTTATTTATTTACTTGTTGTTTATTTGTTTGGTTTAATTCATTTTAATTAGTTTCATTTTAATTTTTATATTCTCCAACACAACGACCGTGTACAAAAAACAGGTTAAATTCTCCACCACAACGCTAAAGTATACAAACATAGAACATTCATTAAAGATAACGATCAGCGACAGCTGTTACATATCGATCCGCGATCCTTTGTTTTTGTCAAGCACCGTACAAGGGCGAGCTAATATCGATCGCACCCACGGGGCCATCACACCTAATTAAATTTGGTCATGCATCATGGATTTATGACGAGTTGGCTGAAGCGAACACAGTAGGGGTCCCGCGTTTAATCGAAAGAGCTAAGTGTTTAACCGCAAAGCCACCGTTAAGTGTAGCGACAGATGTTACCACTTTAATGGATTTTTCCCCGAACGGTTTGACAGCTGTGCAACAGCTGGTACCACACTTTCCACTAACACTTAAACGTACAGTGTCATGGGTTTTTAAGTTTCTGGTACGATTATGTTAAACGTATACTCATTCACACACACACACACACACTAAATTAGAACAAAAGTCTTCTTATATTTTATTTGTTTATTAACGTTTTTCCAATTCATCAAAGGCTTTTAAAATTTCATCCTGTAAACTTAATAGGCGCTCAAAGCAGACGCGACTCATACTAACACCAGAATTTGTAGGAAAATTAAGATCGGTCCCATCTATAAGCTCTCTAAGATTTAAAGTGTTTTTGTTCATGAATTGGCTAACAATCGCCAATTTAAATCCGGTGTGATTCATCGTTCGTATTTCCGTCACTTTATTGTTACTCCTGGCCACAAGTATCCAATCTTCATTCGACATCTTGAAATAATCTTTTATAATTAGTTCCAATAATTTGAAGTGTTAAACGTGTTATAATACGATCGTTAATATATTGACGACTCGCTGACGCCGAAAAGGGTTGTAATATAACTTTTAAATTTGCACCTCGAACTTTCTTCAAAACAAAATAGGCTGCATATAGCCCACAACTGTTGGTTAGAATATCTTGTAACACTCTTGAATTGTAAACGAGTGGTCTGTTTGAATTATTTTTTATAAAAGACAAAATGGCCGGCTCCCGAGGTGGTAATCCAAAACTATCGAAATAAGTAAATTGCGATAGTCCGTTGAAAAATAGACCAACCCAATGACTCCCTGCCTCCGAGGACGAATCTAGATTGATAATGAATGCCGCTTGCTTCGTTCTATCGAGACGCGCGGGTAACTGATCGCACGCTAAAACAGCAAAGAGAGTTGTGCGTTGCACAAATAAGTCCGCGGCCAGTATACTTTGTAGTTCTCTTGTGTTCATTTTCTTTTATAGGCCAAGTTAGGCGGTGTAATCTGTCAGCACTTGCCTCGTTTTCGAAATTTCTAACACCGAATCAAGTTCAGCATACACAATAACTTGAATCGGGTCAGCTGTAACTTGTGAAAATTTAAGTTCAATAGAAACAGGTCCCGATTTAGCCAATTCAAATTGTTCACCATCCAAAAGACTAGGGCTTAAATCAAAAGCAAACAGGGTATACCCGTTCTTAAAGTTTTTATAATCTATCCCATTCCCAGCATCTTTTCCAACCATACCAAGAGCGAGGTTACTATTGAAAAACGCTCTAATGGCTTGTTTCTTATCAAAGTCCATAACCAGTGGTTTTCCCGATAACGAGCGACCATCAACGCTTACATTTAAATACGTCAAGTGAAAATGTTAAATTGAAGGGGTTTTTCGTGTAACTCCCATTAAAGGCGGTAGAGGCGACTAGACCGATCACTAAACGGGTCGGTGTTTGACTCATATACAAATTGTCTTGGTTGTGACTTAACATACCTTTCTGTATAGCAAAGGTTTTTATTACAACGCGTTTAAAAGGGTATTTTGCATTTGTTGTCGTTAAAGCCTTTTCGTGTGCGATAAAAATGGCGGGGTTAAGTCTGGCTTTTCTAACTACCAATGTTGCGTACGTTATAACCGCTTTATACCCCTTGTTTGGTTCTGCTGTCAAGAGAGTGAAACTGTCTTTTGCGGGTGTAAGTTTAATTTTAATGTCAACACCATTCAGCATATACCGATCTTGAGCGAAAAAGTCAGAGTGTATACGTCCCATCATATCGATCTCATGACTTTCAGCAGCGGTGGTGCGGCGAATCCTATACCCTTCATTATTGTCATCTTTGAATTCCTCGAAATAACAGGCTAAGTCCCTCGCATAAAGAGCGGCCGATGGAGACCCATTCTTGGCCTCTTCCCCGTGATTTAACGTAGCTTCCAGATAGGCGCGATACGGATAGGTGTTCTCACTAGCAGTAATTAGCGTATCGTTTAGAGAAATATCCACTTGTGAAAATAAGCTGTGCAAAAAATAATTGACGGGTGCGACATCAACGTCAGACGGTATTGAATCACCATTCGCTAAAGTCACTTTAGCGCGCACGTGTAAATAAGTATTAAACAAATCGAGATAGTCTTCACTGTTGCCAGAAATGGCAAATTCTATAGGTGCAACTTGTGCCAAGGACGCCAGGGGATGTATTTCAACAAATTGACCCTCCTCGACGGCAGTTTGTGTCGGGGGTGTACTAAATAAATCCAATCCAGAATGTAAGCACTCACATGAACTCGGGTGAATAAGAGCCATGGTTAAGCAAATATATCTGAATACTTGGGATGCTTCTTCTTAACACACGTCTTCGAATGTTTGTGGCTTGGTCTGCGTGTTAGTTTTATCTGTTGTTCGAAGGGTTCACCCGGTGGTCTCGAGAGCCCACGCTTTCTTCTCAACCCGCTTCCTGATTGGTTTTGTCCCAGGTGATCAACGGCGCCTTGCAATAAACGATGTCCGGCTTCCTTGGCATGTTCTTTGAACGATTCTCCAACGTCTCTTCCCGCTAATGCGTCGTTTGCAACTTGCAACCCAGTACTAACACCTTCTCTGAGTAAAGCCTTACCTCCCGTCTTTATCCAAGGGAGGACCATTCGACCTAGACCACTAAAGAAACTACCAATACCGTGTCCTCTCTGATTTCGTCCACCGATAAAAACGGGTAAACCATCACCGTACTGGTTACAGTAAAAATCCTCGTACAATTTAGGGTTTCGATGTAAAAGTGTGTTTCACCATGGTGTGAGTTATTCGAGATCGAAATGTTTACGTGTTCTAAAATGGAGTGTCAACACTGACGTTCCACTTGTGAATGAGAGCGTTTGTCCCAAGTCATCGCATAAAAGCGGTTCAGGGGGACGTAGTGGGGTTTGTCGTAAATACGAAAAACGGAACTTGGTTTCTTCTCAACGATCGGTACGGTACGAAGCAAAGGGACCATGACATCACCAACCGGTCTCGTTTTTACGAGGTCACAATAGACGAATACCGTTTTTACTTCGTCTTTAGGGAGATGTTTCTCTGTAACTCTACCAGGAACAAGCAAATAGCTTGTCAACCTGTCACGGACGGTACTTTCTATTCCCGCCGCAATTACTTTTACGACAACTTTCTTAAATCCCTTGTTACAGTTTGAAATTATAACTTCCATTTTTCGTTCATCTACCTCTCTTTTTACTAGTTTTTTTATAGCGTTAACAAGCAAGTCTATGTATTGATATTTGGACTGACGTAATCCATATAGAAAAAGGTTAACGTCTTCACCTTCTGTGATGGAATGATACTGGAGCCAAATTTCATGTTCTCTAAGCATACAAAACGTATTCGGCATTTGAATCTCGACCAGACCAACTTCGTAGTGTAAACTCACATCGATAGTCTGTGGTAATTTAACGAAAAAATGCCCAGCCTCATAGTCTGGAAATACATTTGGTGATGCATTGCTAGGCAGGGTCACATAAAAACTCATTGTAAAATTTTGGTCCTTGCAATGGTTGGGTTAGGTAAAATATATCCGAGACAGCTGGATAACAACACGACCCAAAGTTTTCCCTCTTTGTCGTCGACCGTTCCACGCGTCAGATTAAATAGTGAAAAAGCAATGACGACAAATATAACCAACATTTGAGAGATGAAAACAATTTCCGGTCGTGTCTTTAGTTTATCGAACCAGCTCGAAATGGTCGAACCGATAGAAGACGTGGTGGATCCGGGTCTCACCTCGAGCCCACCGAACGGTATGAGCGTTTCTTCCACAACGGGGTCATCCAGACTTAGGCTTTTTACCGTTTCCTCCATCCTTAGTCTTTATATTTCGAAATGTCTCTAGCTGAAATCCAACTGTTGAATGAAGGGTTATAACCGAACCACTTGACTAAATACTCTTTACCACCGACACCCTTTCTTTCTTGTATAATTTGTTCGACGCGGTACACTTTTTTGTCCCCCACTTTCTGAAGCTCCTCTTTGTAAAACGAGCCTTTCACTTCTTCACCCGAATCATCTTTCAAGACGTACGTTACGGGCGTTGTCGCGTTCACGCGGCTCACCGTAAACAGTTCTTCCGTCCACGAAGGGGTATAACCCTTTTTAAACGTGTTTCGACTTTGGCCGATCCGTACACGATCACCTTCGTTAAATACTTTTCGATAAGTAATGTCCCCTGGCTCGTATAAAGTATTCCAGACCCTTTCTTGATTAGACAAATTAACATTCACAGGGGCCATACGAATACTCCTATGGTACGAGTGGTTATAGTTGGTGATCAAGTCGTCTACGACATCAATGTAACGAAGACGATTTGTTTTTGTAAAGTACCGCCACATTTTTTCTTTTAATGTTCGATTGAATCTCTCAACTATAGCCGCCTTAATATCTTCATTCTCAGTGGTAAAGAAATGAACGCCTTCATCTTTAAGAAATTTTAAAAATGTCTTGTTGACAAATTCACTACCTTTGTCTGTTTGAAAATTTATAGGTTTTCTAGTCGTAAATATTATACGTACGGCCTCCACTCGCGCCTTACCCGTTTTTTTCTTTATCGGAATCGCCCAGGCGAATTTGCTAAACACATCGATGCAGGTCAGTAGGTAAGAAGCACCACCATTGTGCTTTCGTAACATGCGCATATCTATGAGATCCGCTGGAAACTGGTGATTTACCCCACCGGTGATGGTGGCGCGCCTCTGAAAGCGTCGCCGAAGAGGTTTATGTAACGTGTAGGTGTCCTGATGACTTAACCATTCTTTAATTTTCTTACTTCCAATTTCAGGGTGCTTAAACACGCCGCCGTAGGCGCCTGGTCTACTAGGATCATAGTAATGTCTTTTTAGTGTTTGATTTTTTCCCACGCGTCCCATTTGGTAGTGCTTGTTTTAGTTTTCTTACTTCTGGTACGTATCGAGGGTGGTGTTTTTTCTACGTGTGTCTTCGTTTTCTTCGAGGGGCGAATTTCAGAGTCAGGCGAGACGGATTTCGTTTTAGTTTCAGATTCTGTTATGTCTATCGTTTCTTTTTTAGGATCGGTTATATTTTCATGTGGTTTTTCAACCTCGGTCGTTGGGGTATTCACGGTGGGTGGTTTCACATCGACTAATCCTAGAGACTTGTTTCTATAATCGCTAAGTCGCGTAGTGTAGAGCTGTAGTGTCTTTTGATATTGTCTCACTTTGTCGTGTGGTGACAAATCTTCCCTATTTAAGATATGTTCCATTTGCATATCCAAAAGGCGTAGACTATCATTGAGTGTGTCGGGTGGTACATAGGTTTTTTGTTGCATAGACTCTAATATACGAGGATCCATTAAAAGCATTTTCCTGGCCATCCTTAAAATCCCAAGACACCTTTAAGTACACCGAGAACTGGTCCGAGTAAAGCACCTAGGAAACCGCCGGTCTGCAAAATTTGCTTTCGTCTTTTGACGGTCAATGACTTTTTGGTAAGTTGTCTCAAGTTCACTTTGTGACGACGCAAACGTCTCTTCTGACCGGGGGTGAGGGGAACGTTGCCTTTTAAGACATTGTGACAGCACTCGCATAACGTTTTTACGAGTTGTGGGGTAGCATTTTCAACAACGGCTTTCACGGCGGGTGGTTTGGCCCGAGCCAAAAACCTTAACATCTCACCTTGTCGTTTTACCGACTCAGACATGGTTGCTTTTATTTCGGGACGTAAACGACTTGCTGCTCGTAAGAAAAGATACTACTGCGTAATCTCAGATTATCCGGTGTTTCCTGTCGAAGGTCGATCAACAAATAACCATGAGGGGCCGATGTTGCGTCCTTAAAACTTTCCTGGACATACGAAACGCGACCGGGATACATTTGTTTTGCCAAATTTGTAATTTGTGAACCGTCTTTAGGGTTCTTGAACAACACTATGTAATGCGAATTGAGACTGATGGTTCTTTGTTCTTTATTTTTCCCGAATAGGTTTTGGACAATATACATAACACTAATATTACGATGGTGACTCCCTTTCGTAAACAATTTTGTAATTCGCTCATCTGATTCCGCCATCAAATCATCGATGACGACTAGACGTCGACGTTTTCCATCCCCCATTGATCCATTTTCTAAGTCAGGAAGACCTTCTACAAACTGAACGTTCTTCATGGTATCAAACAAAGGCTGCCACTCCCCGTAACAGTAATAAATTTCCTCAGGTGCAGGATCCATCATCTCTGAAACCTGGGATAAAAATGTTTTGACAAATACTGTTTTACCACTCCCAGTTGGCCCAGCGATCAGAGCGGTAAACGGATGTTTCCATCTCGGATCCATCGTTTTAAATGGTTGATTTTGCTTCCAGTCAAAAATCTTATATAGGATACCGAGTTACAGGTACAAGTAAGAAAAACAATAACACATACTTGTCTTTTAATATAAAAGTAAGAAAGTGAGTTTCTGTGATTGTGTGAATGTGTATACGTTTAACATAATCGTACCAGAAACTTAAAAACCCATGACACTGTACGTTTAAGTGTTAGTGGAAAGTGTGGTACCAGCTGTTGCACAGCTGTCAAACCGTTCGGGGAAAAATCCATTAAAGTGGTAACATCTGTCGCTACACTTAACGGTGGCTTTGCGGTTAAACACTTAGCTCTTTCGATTAAACGCGGGACCCCTACTGTGTTCGCTTCAGCGAACTCGTCATAAATCCATGATGCATGACCAAATTTAATTAGGTGTGATGACCCCGTGGGTGCGATCGATATTAGCTCGCCCTTGTACGGTGCTTGACAAAAACAAAGGATCGCGGATCGATATGTAACAGCTGTCGCTGATCGTTATCTTTAATGAATGTTCTATGTTTGTATACTTTAGCGTTGTGGTGGAGAATTTAACCTGTTTTTTGTACACGGTCGTTGTGTTGGAGAATATAAAAATTAAAATGAAACTAATTAAAATGAATTAAACCAAACAAATAAACAACAAGTAAACAAATAAACAAATATAAAATTTAAAATTAAAAAATAATAATTTAAAAAATTTAAAATTTAAAAAAATTAAACTTCAATTACGTAACTCGTTAATAATAATTAAACTAATTAAAATAATTAAATTAAAAAAATTAAACTAATTAAAAATAAACAAACAAAATACAAACAAATAATCAAATTACGTACTAATTAATAAAAAATGTAAAATTAAAAAAATGTAATAAATAAAAATCAAATTAATTAAACTTATTAAAAATAAAGAAACAAAACACAAACAAAGTAATTAAAATCAAATTAATTGAAAAGCACATTAAAATTACGTAACTAGGTCAAAAATTAATTAAAATTTAAAAAACTCATTAAAACTAATTAAAAACTCATTAAAATTGCGTAACTAGGTCACTGATTATGTCACAAGGTCACCACCGGTGACCTACTTACCTACTGACCTACTCCCCATCCGCATCCCTGCGCATCCTCCCCATCCCCATCCGCATCCCCATCCCCATCCGCATCCCCATCCGGAGTATTTTACTATATCTCATTGTCCCAGGCTGCTGCGCCTGCGCCTGGAGTATTTTACTATATCTCGTTGTCCCAGGCTCCCCATCCCCATCCCGAGTATTTTACTATATCTCGTTGTCCCAGGCTGCGCCTGCGCATCCCCCTGCGCATCCGAGTATTTTCCTATATATTCTTTGCGCATCCTGGGTGCGCCTGCGCCTGCGGTCCAAAAGGGACCTATTATACTACTGGTGTCCTGTGAAATTAACACACCTGTCAGAATAGCCGGTTAACTTAGCGTCACGGCGTCCTGTGAAATCAACACACCTGTCAGAATAGCCGGTTAACTTAGCGTCACGGCGTCCTGTGAAATCAACACACCTGTCAGAATAGCCGGTTAACTTAGCGTCATGGTGTCCTGTGAAATCAACACATCTGTCAGGCTAGCCGGTTACCTTAGCGTCACGGTGTCCTGTATGTTTTCAGTTATTCTTTGAAGTTGAAGGTTAATTAACTTCATTAGTTTGATTATAATTTAATCGTCGGTTATTTAAGTTGTTTTACTTAAAGTCTGGGAAGAAACTCCAACATTGGTCAAATTCAGTTGCAACATAATTTGGCCAGAAAACAAGTGTTTTATCTGTAGAAAACAAGCATATGTCAATTTGGTGGCTTTAGCATTTGGTTAGAATATTTAAACTAAATATTATGTTTCAATGCATCCTATTGTGAGTTTGTGTGGGACGACGTGGTCGAATGGTAGAGCGTTGGAGGCCAGCCCCAAAGTCTCGAGTTCGGTCCTGGTTTTGATTAATCCACCAAGCTCTGATGGGTACCAGACAATACGTTGGGCATAGTGGTGACCACGCCATCCCTTAATGCCGAAGTCAAGAAACATGAACCCTAGTTCATCTACACAATGGATCGCTACGTCTAAAGAAAGTATTTTTTACTTTCTTTATTGCTAGCTGGTGGCAAATCCCAATGTAGATTCACCTTGCTATGTATTACATTATTAGGACATTGATTCCTTTGTAGAATCTTCCAACTGTGTTTTATTCGTTTCAAGCATTAATTTTCATACTTCGTTTTAGATTCGAACCCGTTACCGTTAAAGCGGCGTAGGTGAAGTAGATTATAACAGAAGTGGTAGGTGAATGATAAATCTAGTTTAAAACAAGTGTTTTTCTAAACTTGACAGGGCCCATTGCCGGTTAGATGGTTGGCACCAGAAAGTTTGATCGACAGAACACACAGCACCAAATCTGATGTCTGGGCCTACGGCATTCGTCTGTGGGAGATTGTTACGCTAGGTGAGTTCATAGGTTTACATTAGTAGGGGGGGGGGGGTTGGGGGTGTATGTAGTGAAGGGGGTGAATGTTGTTGTTACTTGGTACCCTATCCCGTTTGTCCTTGTTCAGTTCTCGTGCTGTGAGTTGTAATATTCCGGTTTGTACCAGTTTATGAAAGGGTGTGTAAGGTGTATGAAAACGTGTGTGATGGCCTCAGTTTTGTCCAGATCTCCAAGGTTAGTACAGGTTAGGTTTATACTAGTTTTTAGCCACTGTATCTTTGTTTACTAGCTTGTGTATTTTCTGTTTAAACTAGACTGTGTTAGGTGTAGATAGTGTATATAAATTCTTTAAGTTTCAACGAGCCTTTGTTTCAGTCTTGTTTTGTAACCCGTTTGTGGTTGTTTGTCTTATGTGTTGTGCTTTACGGTGTTGGAGGGGGGGGGGGGGACTATCTTTGGGTGAGTCTATTGTTTTACTTTAGTTTGGTAGGAGGGGGCTACTGTATGGGTTTGGAGGGGGGGGGGGTGTCGATTGTAAATCTCGGCAAATTCATTAAGCAGGCGCATGTAACCTTCACCTTGAATGTCTTGCAACCAACAGTCTGATTGCAAACTATACACTTTTGTGTTGATAGATGGGGTCGGAGCGAACTTTCTAGATAGCAAACAAATACAACAAAATAGCATTAGCTTCCTACAACATTGTGTCATGAAGAAGGGCTTCGCAAAATGTGTACATTAATACTATTATATTAATACACGGGATACCGTGATGGGTCTGAATAGATCAGCCTTCAAGATAAAATAAACAGTACCTGTGATGTAAAAGATACTGGGTGAACCTGGCAATAGGGCTGGTAAGTAGGTCACCAACCAGTTATATGGCTCATGCAGGTTTTAATGAGCCGTAGAACTGGTTGGTGACCTCAGCACTGCAGTTCTGACATGTAGCTAACTTTAATCCTAACCACACAATCGACAACACACACATCCACTTTGACAACTAAAAACCCACTCAGCTAGAGAAATTTTGACAATTCCACATCAATTACGACAGCAACAAAAAAGTTCCACACAATCACACACAAAAAATCCAACACAACCCCCACATAACTCACCTCAATGTATAATCCCACCCACTCACAACCCCACACAACTTAACTCCCACAATCCCACACAAACTCCCACCCCCACACAACTCAACTCCCACAATAAATCCCACCCCCACACAAACTCCCACCCCCACACAATCCCACACAAACTCCCACCCCCACACAATCTCCTACAAGTCACCTCCCACAATCCCACCCTGACACAATCCCACAATCCCACACACAACGCCACCCCAACTCCCCCATAACCAACCAACTAACCCTAACCCTCCCCGTCCCCAGATACGAGCTCATGTGCAGCTGCTGGTCCTTCCTCCCAGAGAACCGTCCAACGTTTGATGCCCTGTGTCGCAGGTTCGAGACTCGAGAAAAAGATTGCATCAATCTGAAACTATTCCAGAGCGAACAGTACGCTTGTCTGGATGCGGACATAATGGATGAGAAGTTATAGGACATAAAGCTGGTTGTATGAGAAGATATAGGACATAAATGAGAAGCTATAGGGCATAAAGCTGGTTGGATTTGAAGATATAGGACATAAAGCTGGTTGGATTAGAAGATATAGGAGATAAAGCTGGTTGATTGAGAAGTTATAGGACATAAAGCTGGTTGATTGAGAAGTTATAGGACATAAGGCTGGTTGGATGAAAAGATATCGGAAATAAAGCTGGTTGATTGAGAAGTTATAGCTGGTTGGATGAGAAGTTGTAGGACATAAAGCTGGTTGGATTAGAAGATATAGGACATAAAGCTGGTTGGACCGTTGAAGTCACCTAAGAGATCCCGGATGTTACATAAACTTACTTGGATTTTGCAGAGAAAGTCGATTTAAAAACTAATCAAATCATTCTTCGCAGTGATCTCGTACAAAATGTTTTTGTTGACACAAGTATTAGACATGCTGACAAGTATAGGGCTGGTAAGTAGGTCAATAAATAGTTATATGGCTCATGCAGGTTTTATTGAGCTGTAGAACTGGTTGGTGACCTATTTACCAGCCCTATAGTAGCGATCGTCCAGACGTATACATGTTTCATAACATACCTACAAGACATTTGAAACCTACCCCATACTCCACAGGAAGTTACAGAACAAATATGTTCATACCCCCCCTCCTTGCCTCATCACGAACAAAATGTAAACTCAGTGCTTTGCAATTTATGTGACCATATAAATGAATTACAAGAATCACATTATTTTCTAGAAAATCGTCGTTTTTCATCCTAATTATCCAATGATTGTAGATTCATGGGCCTATAGCAGAATTTTCTTTTGTTTTTTACAAATAAAAACAACAAAACTTACTGACAAGTGTTATACAACAGCAGTATTTTAACCATATTCCATATGACACAATATAACATGATGATAAATGTGCACGATCTGTTACGCAGAATAAAATATTTTATTAAAATAAGACTGTTTTGTTGTGGTGGATTGGGCCGTTCTATTATTATACACTGACGAGAAGCCGCGTTGGTTGTTAACTAGTCTTTAATTCAGCTACATGATGGAAACAGGAACAGGAAGTGACGAGACAATAACATATATATTAACAAGGGACATCACTCAAAATAACATTATAAATATAAGACTAATACGAAAAGAGTGAGTTCCCTTGACTTCACAATTCTCAATATATTACATCCCTTTACCCTTAGTAAACAACAACACATCTCTCAATAGAACAAATGATAGTATCCTAAAATCACCAAATATATTGCAACATGAACATTATATGAATTGAATCATTTGGTAGATTACACCCTTACAAACAATGCATAATATGCCACAGCATAATTAAAATACAAAACAATGATGTCAAAGTCCTTTTGACCTTTAAAATCATAGGTCTAACTTATCTGGGACTTTGATTGTCCTGTTTGACCTTCTCAGTGGATTTTTTGATTTGGTGACTCAAGATTCTGACCATCTGGATTCTCTATCTCAGGAAGTCTAGGATCTAAATTATTAGTTCCAGAATTTACATTTTCTGACTCTAGACTACTTGGTTCACTCATATCAACAGAACTTGGTTGTGGAACAAACTGAGTTGTTGTGAACTGTTCAGATTTGGTGGGATTGACAGATTCACACTTATTATCTGCACAAGGTATTTTTAACTGGTCTGCATGTCTACGGACAATAAGTCCATCATTTGTTTTTACTTTATAAGACACAGGTCCTGTACATTGAACAATTTGACCTGGCATCCATTTTTCCCTTCTCCCATAATTTCTCAGATACACATTATCATTAACTCCAAATTCTCTTTCAATGGATGTTTTGTCATGATTCACTTTTTGTGTATGTTGATGTTGGGAAACAGACCTTTGAACAGTTGGATGTAGTAGGTCAAGGTGAGTTTTAATTTTCCTACCACATAGCAATTCGCATGGTGCAATACCTGTTGTAATATGAGGAGTTGTACGGTATTTGGCTAAGAACCTGTTTACTCTTTCATGGTCACATTTAGCTTTCTCTGTTTGGTATTTACTTTTGATTTCCAAATACCTAGAAGTTTCAGAAGTATTTGGCTTGTTAATTAATTTTTCAGGTTTATCCTGGGATGTTTTTTTTCTGATATAATGGAATTATTTTTGAATTGGCATCTGAAAGTATTATGCTATTATTCAGATCCTTAACTGACATAGATTTCTTTGATTGATCAATTTTCTCAGGTAATCTGATAGTGCTTTTTGGTAACCAAAATTACTGTTTAAAAGCAATATCCTGGACCATATCAATTTGCAACTGTGATCCAGTATTTGAAGTGGGTGTATTAAATGGCAAAAATCTATTTTTCTTTTGATGTTACCCATTTAGTTTCTGTAAGTGCTAATGATGTTAGCAAAGTTGTTTGATGATCACATTCCTTCTTATTTAATGTATTCTCTTTTAAAGCATTTGAAATTGCCATACCACCATAATCATTTATCAAGTTACAAATACTTTGTTTAGGCAACTCTGATTGATAATGGACTCCATCTTCTCCATCTTTTATATTATCTTCACAAAGGTTTTTATTTCTCCCAGGGAACTTTTGATAAGCCCAACAAGAGGGGTGTTGACAAATAACATCACAAATTAAAGTATGAATATTGAGAGCAAACATTGTGGAAACATTTATATTGGAGTTATCCATGATAGTGAAAAGAACAAATACATCTTCTGGTACATAACTAAGGCTTTGGTTTTTTAAAGGTAAACGACCTAGACTATCTGCACTATTCTCAGATCCAGGTTTGTATTTCAATTCATAATTGTATGCGGGTAGTGTGATAGCCCATCTTTGAATTCTTGGTGAGGCATGCTCAGTCAGGGGTTTGTTTTCCCCAAACAAACCTGTAAAGATGGTGAACTCCCTACCAAACAGAAACTTGTGAAATTTCTTAACACCAAAAATGATGCCTAAGCCTTCCCTATCTAACTGAGAATAATTTTTCTCAGCCCGGTTCAAAGATCTACTGGCAAAAGCAATGGGTCTGTCACCTTTTTCATCTATGTGGGATAACACTGCTCCTACACCATCTGGTGAAGCATCACATGTTAAGATAAGTCTTTTCCCTGGGTCATAGTGAGTTACTAAGGTGACAGAAGACAAAGCTTCTTTTGCTGAATTAAAAGCAGCATCTTGTTGTATACCCCAGTGCCAAGTTGCATTTTTCTGCAGCAGCTTGTACAGTGGTGATAGTTTACCAGACAGATTCCCTATGAACTTCGCATAGTAATTTATCAAGCCCAAAAAAGCTCTTAGTTGTTGGATATTTTCAGGTTTGGGTGCTTCTTTAATGGCTTTTGTTTTCTCAGGTTGAGGTCTGATGCCTTGCTTGCTTAAAATATAACCAAGAAAACTAATATCTGTCAGCATGAATTGACATTTATCTTTGTTTATCTTTAAACCTTTTTCACCAACTATTTTCAAGACTTTATCAAGTGTTTTAAGATGTTCAGTGTCATTCTTACCAGTTATGTACACATTGTCAAAGTAAACACAAACATTTGGAATGTCCTTAAAAATACTGTCCATGACAGCTTGGAAAATTCCAGGGCTAGATGATATGCCAAAACATAGTCTTTCATCTTGGTAGAGTCCTTTATGTGAGTTTATTGTCGTATAGACCCAGTTTAACTTAAGATCAACTAACCAGTTCCTACCTAGTAATGGTGGTCCATTTCCTTCAACCACAAGTAGAGGAAGTTTAACACTTTGACCATTATAGCTTACATGAACCATACACTCTCCTATCACCGGAACATTGTCACCTGTGTATGTTGTTAGGCACTTGTGACATGGTTGTAGAGGCACTGATCCTCCTGTGACAGCGTCAAAGTCCTTCTTGGTGATGACGGATAGAGATGCTCCAGTGTCAAGTTGGAAGATGATGCTCTTACCGTTAATATAAACTGGTACATTGATGGGAGCATGACTTGATTTCACAGAGAACAGGTTGAACTCCGGCTGCGAATCAGTTTGAGCATTTTCACTGGTAGAGTGGTTCATTGGTTGGGTTAGGTTGTCTTGGTGAGAGTTAACATAGTGCTGCCTTTGGTTGCGGTACTGTCTTGACTGGCTAGATTTAGCAACAGACGAAGACTTTGCAAAGCAGGCCTTGGCAATGTGACCTTGCTTACTGCACTTATAACAAGTTGCTGACTTGAACTTGCATCGATGAGATGCATGGGGACCGTTGCATCGATGACATTTTTGATAATTATTACTAGATTTAGATCTAAGATTTGAACGTGCAGGCTGTTTAGCATAAGTTGAAATGCTCTGATGGGGTTGGTGTTTGTTGACTAACCTGCTGTCTACTGCATGGATCCCTGAGGGTGCTAGAGATCTCGCCGCAGCGGATGACTGCTGGTATGAAGTTGCAAGATGTATTGCTTTTTCCAATGTGAGATCTGACTCGAGAATCAACTTTCTTTGAACATCAGGGCTGTTTACACCTGTCACAAACTTTTCACATAGTCTGTCAGACAGCGTGTCCCCGAATTCACAAAATTCACTTAGATGACGTAAAGCAGCAACATATTCTGATATTGACTCGTTTGGTTGACGAGTCCTACCGTCAAATCTGGCTCTACACAGGAACTTTGATGGTGCGGGCGCATGGTGGTCTGTTAGCAATTTGCTCAGCTCGTTAAAGCTCTTGGTAGCTGGAATAGCTGGTGCGCATAAGTCCTTTAATAGCCTAAATTGTTGAGGCCCTATGACTGTTAACAAAACAGCTCTCTTTTTGGCTTCTATCGTCACGTTGTTAGCTTCAAGGTAAAAGCTTAACCTATCTAGATAATCATGAATGGTTTCATCATTCAAATCAAATTCTTTTATTTGACATACAGCGCCATTATCCTAGAAATACTTAGCCAATATGCTCTAGCAAGCTTCTTTTTAAGTAAGCAGGTGCTCTTTTAAGTCGATTGATTCCATCCTCGTCGCCAGTTGTGGTGGATTGGGCCGTTCTACTATTATACACTGACGAGAAGCCGCGTTGGTTGTTAACTAATCTTTATTTCAGCTACATGATGGAAACAGGAACAGGAAGTGACGAGACAATAACATATATATTAACAAGGGACATTACTCAAAATAACATTATAAATATAAGACTAATACGAGAAGAGTGAGTTCCCTTGACTTCACAATTCTCAATATATTACATTTGTAATAATATTCATTATACAACTGTCTGTTGATTTAAGCAAAAGAAACAATAACGTACATTAATAATTGTAATGCATTCAATGATAAAAATAGATAATAAAATGCAATCATTTGTAGTTTAGATATTAACGTCAATAAAACATTAAAATTTAATAACTTTGAATATAAACACACCTAACTGTATATACAAACATTGTATTCAATAAAAACATTGCAACCATCCATTGTTTGCAGTTGTGTTGTCATGTTATACTTGTTATAGTTATGCCTTGTATTCTATAGAACTGTTTTCATCGTTACTATGGACTTATAGTAACTACTTTTACAAATGCTGCCGAGTGTATGGCTTGTAAGACATGTTCTCTCTCACTGTTATTCGATATCTCGCTAGCCAGGGAGAGGTGTGATTTTTCGAACTGAATTTTCTCTTGTGAACATGGTTACCATTATTAAAAAAAAAATGCGGTTATTTGTTTCTAGGTCTCGCCTCAAGATTTTAAAATACCAAGAGTGCATAAAAGAAAAAAAGAATTGCGCAGCAAGTGAACGGGAAAAAATATTTAAATAATAGTGCGGAAAACTAGTACTTCATTAATTCATATGCGTTTTTTTTTAGAAATCGGAAATAGCGTAAAGTTCTACTTCCGGTCAACGAAAATTACTCAAAATTTGAAAGAAAGCAGAGAATTAGATCTTTTACGTTTAAGTGAAATTTCGTTTCTCTATGTGAAACAGTACTCAAGTTATGTTTGCGTTTTTGTTTCTGGTTAGGGTTAATTAAAAAGGTAATATATATATTAAATCCGGGCTATGCCGGGTATATGCTCAACACAACACACACGTCATGGGGGGGGGGGGAGGGCGGTAGATGCATGGAAAAAATTCTGGTGCCTGGCCGGCTAGTTTATAATTATTTAGATATATATATAGTATATATATATATATATATATATATATATATATATATATATATATATATATATATATATATATTAGGGGGATTTAGTTGTTCGAGAAAGAGGGATCATCTGCGATCCCACTTCTGACACCAAAATGTAAGGGGAGGGTTGTTTTTGTTAACCGATTAAAAGAGAGACATGGTAAGACTGTATTGACCATTATTCTCCCAAATCCGTGCACCTTTGCGTGGTGACAAAGGAGTCTAATAGACCTGAGCAAAACTAATTAACATTTAAACAAATACAACATTAATTTTACACTAAAAATAAAACTTGATAAACACCCAGTTAATGCAGTTATTTAACTTCATCCTACTTCGCAAAAATGTATTTTACAAGCAAAAAACAAAAGGATACAAATAAGACCTGGCCAGTTTTCATAATCAAGGAAACATCCCTCGAATTCTTAATACATGTAAAAAAAAAAATCACATTTTTATATACAACCACAATTTTATCCTTTCATGAATGTATACGAGTTCCTTACACGACCCAGTTCGTCACACACAAAAGGCAGGGTGATTCCCCAGCCACAAGGACAACATATCCGTCCTCCAAAACAAACATCTGGCCCCAGAGCGAGACATTTGGCCACTGGATCGAGACATCAGGCAACGAGCATAATATCGGGCCACAAGAACGAGACATCAGGCCACGAGCATAATATCGGGCCACAAGAACGAGACATCAGGCAACGAGCATAATATCGGGCCACAAGAACGAGACATCAGGCAACGAGCATAATATCGGGCCACAAGAACGAGACATCAGGCCACGAGCATAATATCGGGCCACAAGAACGAGACATCAGGCAACGAGCATAATATCGGGCCACAAGAACGAGACATCAGGCCACGAGCATAATATCGGGCCACAAGAACGAGACATCAGGCAACGAGCATAATATCGGGCCACAAGAACGAGACATCAGGCAACGAGCAATCGGGCCACAAGAACGAGACATCAGGCAACGAGCATAATATCGGGCCACAAGAACGAGACATCAGGCAACGAGCATAATATCGGGCCACTGGAACGAGGCGTTGGGCCGCTGGTGTAAACACCAGGCCATATCAACAATACCTCAGCTGGGCCACTAAACCAGCCTCTGCGGCCATCAAAAGGCCTAGACTGGTCTATAGCCCTAGCTTGGTATGTAAAAGACAGAGGTCTGAACACAGTCCTCTTAATAGGCTGAATCCAAACAAACTTTTTCCCATACTTTCCGACCACCTGTTTGACAAGAACTGACCGTCGCGACATTACGGTCGTAAATTTAAGCAGACGACCATTGGGGAGACAGGACATAAAATTGAACACAAAGCATGCACACACCTAGGGTCCGGTCACAATCCACGACTGTGAACCTCATAAATTATCCGTGACACCGTCACACCCTGCCAGAACCCAGCGCCGTGAGAACCGGGCGGCGTCTTGGGAGAAGGGGAGGGGAGAACATTACCCCGATCCAGCTACGACCAACCACGAATATAACTACACACAAAAAACAAGCAACCTGTGACAACTATTCAATAACCAGCCAACATTAGGATACCAGCCAACATATATACACACATATATATACATATATATATATATACACATATATATACATAAATATACATATATATACATATCCGTACATTTACACTTCTGTGCTCGCTTTTAAGCAACAGATCTTTTCTGTTGTAAATTAAACATTATCAAAACTTTAAAATTGGTGAAATTTAGCTGTTAAGGGCTCGCTTTGTTTGTGAATTAATGTTGGTTCATGAAAAACAATTTCATTCGGGCATTTACAAGAGTATATAGTGGTATTGGAGGTAGGACAAAATCGTTACTTTTATGCCAATAGTGGTCATGCCATTCATTGGTCTGGAGCAAATATGTCGGGAGTCATTTTGTCAAAAGCCCATTTGTCTTGAGCACTTATATCGGGAGCCAATATGTCGGGAGCCGCTTTATTTTAGAAACATATTTATGGCAATCATCACATTCATCTGGCTTATCTCCAGTATGAACTGTTTTATTTTTTCTAGAAAACTTTTTATGACAAACATCACATTCAAATGGTTTATCTTTTGAATGAACTTGTTTGTGTATATATAAAATAGCACTATGTGAAAACTTTATATGACAAACATCACATTCAAATGGTTTATCTTCTGAATGAACTCTTTTGTGTTTATATAAACTAGAACTCTGAGAAAACTTTTTATGACAAACATCACATTCAAATGGTTTATCTTCTGAATGAACTCTTTTGTGTTTATATAAACTAGAACTCTGAGAAAACTTTTTATGACAAACATCAAATTCAAATTGTTTATCTTCTGAATGAACTTGTTTGTGTATATATAAAATAGCACTATGTGAAAACTTTATATGACAAACATCACATTCAAATGGTTTATCTTCTGAATGAACTCTTTTGTGTTTATATAAACTAGAACTCTGAGAAAACTTTTTATGACAAACATCACATTCAAATTGTTCATCTTCTGAATGAACTTGTTTGTGTATATATAAAATAGCACTATGTGAAAACTTTATATGACAAACATCACATTCAAATGGTTTATCTTCTGAATGAACTCTTTTGTGTGCATACAAATTAGAACGCTGAGAAAACTTTTTTTGACAAACATCACATTCAAATGGTTTATCTTCTGAATGAACTCTTTTGTGTGCATACAAATTAGAACGCTGAGAAAACTTTTTATGACAAACATCACATTCAAATGGTTTATCTCCTGAATGAACTCTTTTGTGTGTATATAAATTAGAACTATATGAAAACTTTTTATGACAAACATCACATTCAAATGGTTTATATTCTGAATGAACTCTTTTGTGTCTATATAAACTAGAACTCTGAGAAAACTTTTTATGACAAACATCACATTCAAATTGTTTATCTTCTGAATGAACTTGTTTGTGTGCATATAAATTAGCACTATGTGAAAACTTTTTATGACAAACATCACATTCAAATGGTTTATCTTGTGAATGAACTCTTTTGTGTTGATATAAACTATAACTCCGAGAAAACTTTTTATGACAAACATCACATTCAAATGGTTTATCTCCTGAATGAACTCTTTTGTGTGAATATAAACCAGAACCCTGAGAAAACTTTTTATGACAAACATCACATTCAAATGGTTTATCTTCTGAATGAACTTGTTTGTGTGCATATAAAGTAGTACTATATGAAAACTTTTTATGACAAACATCACATTCAAATGGTTTATCTTCTGAATGAACTTGTTTGTGTTTATATAAACTAGAACTATATGAAAACTTTTTATGACAAACATCACATTCAAATGGTTTATCTTCTGAATGAACTTGTTTGTGTTTATATAAATTAGAACTCTGAGAAAACTTTTTTCGACAAACATCACATTCAAATGGTTTATCTTCTGAATTAACTTGTTTGTGTTTATATAAATTAGAACTCTGAGAAAACTTTTTTTGACAAACATCACATTCAAATGGTTTATCTCCTGAATGAACACTTTTGTGTGCATTTAAACTAGAACTCTGAGAAAACTTTTTATGACAAACATCACATTCATGAGGCTTATCTCCTGAATGAACTTTTTTATGTTCATTTAACCTAGAACTATCTGAAAACCGTTTATGGCAAGCATCACATTCAAGTGGCCTCTCCCCTACTTGAGCTTTTTTACTCAAGTTAGATCTTTGAAAAAACTGTTCATGATGATCATGAGGATCAACAGAGAGATATGTTTCATCTTCAGAGAGTTTTAGCTTTTCTTCAAGTCCATTTTGTTGTTTGTCCTCAGAATCTAAAAATTTTGTCCATAAATCTGGTTTTAAATCTTTGTTGGTTGATAAAGTTTCTAATTCTGGTTTTATATCTTCGCTAGTTGATAAAGTTTCTAATTCTTGTTTTAGATCTTCACTAGTTGAAATATTTTCTAATTCTGGATTTATATCTTCAGTAGTTGATAAAATTTCTAATTCTGTGTTGGTTGATAAAGTTTCTAATTCTGGTTTTATATCTTCACTAGTTGATAAAGTTTCTAATTCTTGTTTTAAATCTTCAGATCTTGTACATACTGCTGATACAGCAGGTTCCATATCTTTAAAAATTAAAAATCCTGTTGTTTTATCTTGAGATGGTAGAAATGTCATATGGTGTTTTACATCATCAAAAGAGGAAAATGTTGTACATTCTGACTTTGTGTCTGTAGAAGATGAAAAATCTGGCGTAACAACGGTTTTATCATCCTGTGAAGTTATAAATGTCACGCTAGGTTTGATATCACGGAACGTTAAAAATGATAATTCTGTTTTTATGTCAGAAGAAGATGAAAATACTGTAGATAGAAGTGGCTTCACATCTTCAGAATTTGAAAATTCTTTAAACTCATCAGACTGTAAATCTAAATCACCAGTTGCCTCTCCCATGCTGCTTCTTATAAATGAACTGAGGATTAGATATTTAAATGTTAAAGTGGTGATTATACAGATCTAGTGACTATAGTCAAAATAAAGTTTTTTCAATAAAACTTCTCAGATGCATATTAAAATATCTTAGAAATGAATTTAGATAGCTTAAAGTTAATACAATCAATAAACAATTTTAAAAATAAAATAATTAATGTATTGTATATGCCTGAGGGTGGCGGATTATGGTAGAAAATAAAATCAAACTTAAAATTTTTTTGTTTTATACAATATTTGTACAAAATTAACATGCCATGCTTTTTAAATTGACAGAAGGTAAGTATACCATGTTACAAAAACTGCAATCATAACAATTCATATTTTCACTTTAAAAAATGAAAAAAAAACAACAAAACAATCATCAATGAGGAAAGCGCAACGCTTTATGCTTTTTAAGATATCAGGCGACATGACAAATAATAAATCTGGCCAAATGATTGGCTTTGGGCGCAGCACACATCTAAACGCGCCTTGTTTTTCACAAGATTATAATAAAATGGCATTAATGGGGAGGGGGGGTATATATGACTTCATAGTGACCACACCTAAGGACATCATGTCACATGAGAATTATTCCCAAACCGTTGTTTAATCATACACGGCATAACATTAGAATCATAGTTTAGAAGTTTATTTGATTGTAAGTTCATTTTAAAACAAGAATATACAAAGCTACTTTCACTAAAGTGTCACTTGCGAGATAAATAAAGAAATTAGGTCAAAAGTACACCTTACTATTCTTAATTAACAGACTAAGGTAATCTATGATTTTATGTACATAAAATCTGCAGAGGCTAGTAATGTTAAAAAGCCAGTAGTGATCTCCCCTAAGCTTTTTCGAATATTCTTATATAACACTACTGCGGATTGGCAACTCAGGATATACTATATATAGACATGATTTTTAAATCCATGTTTAAGTACTTAAACTTTTAAAAATAGAATAGAATCTTGTAGAAAAAAAGAATTGCACACCAAAGAAATGTGAAACAAAATGTGTATAATAGTGCGGAATATTATTAGTACTTTATATATTCACAAGCATTTTTGAGAAATTAGAAATAGCGTCCATTACTACTTCTGGTCAACGGAAAATACTCTAAATTTGAAAGAAGGTGGAAAATTAGATCTTTTACTTACATATGAAATTTCATTTGGCTATCTAAAACAGAACTCAAGTTATAGGCTTTTGAAAAATTTAAAGTAGAATTAGTTCCACTTCCGGTTAATCAGAAATCGCTGAAAAGTTGATACAGAACTAGAAATTTGATATAATGCTTATATATGAAATTTTATCAACCTAGCTGTAACTGTACTCAAGTTATCGTGTTCACAGACACACATACACTGAAAGAATTGCAAAGCCCAGTTTTTCAGACTCGATTATGCATAAAACGTCAAAAATTTGATAAATGTGGGTTTATAATTTTTGCCCGATTAAAATAAGTCTTCTATACTCCAGATGAAGGACTGAGGTGAAAAACGGTGAAAACCGTCAAAATTTCATGTTATTTATGTGCACTATCAGAATACTTTCTCTATACCCTGTATACGAGAAAGTAAAAAAAGGGTGACGTATCAAATTTTTGTAATTAGTTGGCATTTTTAGAAGGATTCACATTTTGAAAGCTACAAAAGTGTTACAAACTTTTGATGTGCTTGTTTTAAAACATCAGTAGTAAAACTTTTCAGTAATAAATAAAGATTAACGATGTTTTCACTTGATGCAACCAAGCACATTTACTAAAGCAGCCATCTTGTTAAAGTTTTTTGGTAACATTTAAGCTAGAGATTCAAGGGAAACTACCCTAATTTACAGTTGGCCGCTGTTTATATAGCAAATCTTGCTCGCAAACTAGGCTGTTTAAAGTTATTTTCTGGCTTATATTGATATATTTGGACATTGATTTTGGTTTATTATTCAATTATCTATTACTATTATATTTGACACAATTTGTGACAAAAATATTAGTATTACTCGCTACCTTGGAGGTGTGGATCGTTGCTAAAATCAATATGATGTCCACACCAGATGCATGACTTTCAAAGATTTTTCATCTTAGCTCCAGTGACCTTCTTACAATTAGTTTTTAAAACGTTTACCAAGAGCAAAAATGTGGGTTTTTCATGTTATACAAACAAGCTATAGGTGGCAGGGCAAAATATGCCAGAAAATCATTTTAAAATTTGCTTTGGAGAAGGAAGGTATATTTAAAAGTTGGTACCATTAAAAATGATAGAACTTTTAAAATATTAGCCCGGGAAGTAGAAAAATTAATTGAAGATTGAAGAACTATTAGGTTTATCAGTCTATTAAAAAATATATCCAATATATATATATATATATATATATATATATATATATATATATATATATATATCCAATATATAATACAACATAATTAGTTTAAAATGTTAGTACAATCTCTAGACCTACCCCATGCATGTAAACCACAATACAAACAACTCTGTTTATAGTGGCAGTGGTCACTTTTTCTACTGCTGGTAATATAGAAATGTGTAGAAATATCTAAGAATTTTTTTTTAGTAGGCCTGAACTATAACAAGTGATAGGCCTACAACACAAATGTACACTGTCGTATGCCTGCTTTTACAACATACCCAGGTATATGGCTAATTTCCACATCAAAATCTAAAACCTTATGTTGCACCATTTCACCACCAATGTCCCCCACCTTGATATGCGCGCTGACGTAAAAAAAAATATTGTGGAAATTCGTAAGTACACATCGCAGGATTACAGAAACGTTATTTTTACTAGGAAATCGCTTCAGAAGTGGGGTTGGTGTGGTCGAGTCGGTAAAGCTCATGGTTGCTAAACCGATATGTCTCGAGTTTGAACACTCGAGCAGATGAGGCTCGTTAGCAGAGGGCAGCCACTCTTCTAGGAGAAACAACTCCAAAATCAAACAACTTCTGCCTTGTAGTTTGTACTTGGGTGGACAAAAGCTATGGAAGCGAATCCAAAAAGAAAAGCAGGAAGAAATCAGAGTCAATGGCTTCAATGGCACATAACCAGGTGACACATATATTTCATTATGAAGAAAAAGATTTCAGAAGTAACTATGCTAATACTGATGTCGAAAATCTAGCGCCCCACCTCCCCCTAAAGCAAATAGCTGATTTTTTTTTACAAGTGGTGGGAGGAGAAAATAGGATGAGTGCAGTGACAGCAGCAATTTTCACAAACACTGCATTTCAAGGTTTTTTTAAAATTTCAAGGACCTTTACAACTGTTAAAAAATAACTATAGATAGATCGTGTAAAAAAAAATTATAGCAGGCCTACATATTTTGTTTGAAGACCCAAAACCAGACACGTTTTTTGAAAATTTTGCTTAACAGTATAGTGATTTTCTTAGAATTTCGTTTTAAAAAATGATTATCACGTGAAAAATGGCAGATTTTAAGCGTATTTTTATGCTACCTGAAGATGACAAAGCCATTTTTGCCAGAAAAAAATTTAATTAGCTTCCAACAATGAAGGTCAAACATAAACATGGGTAAAGTTTTAAGTTGCTTAAAAACTTAAAATATCGATCTGTAAGGTTCCAAACTTGCACTGTTAGGTAGGGGATTATTAGATTGATCTGTTTCTGAATTAAAATTGTAAATATTCTGTACTCATTTTGAGAAAAAAAAATTACCCACATGTCATGTAAACAATATTTTTTTTTTGTGAGTGACGTTATTGCTATTGATACGTCACGAAAACAATATTTATTTTTGTGAGTGATGTCATTGCTATTGATACGGAAGCTGTTTAGTAGTATCCTCTGTCACTGCTTAAGTAAGTTTTCTTTTTACTTGACCCTTTTTTTACCTATTTTGCTAGCGTAATTAGGCTAATTAAGCCTCATTATGGATCTTTCACCTGGCCTTTTGGTTATACTATGTCTTTAAAAGCCCCTAAACCACAACAATCTATTATTTTGTTTTTTAATTTGTGTTAATCCCTGAAATTATTGCGAGTTGGCCTTTGTGGGCTTATTTATGCCTAATTATTTGTTGTTTTCGAATGTGTTATAGCTTAATTAATTTTTTTAATTCTTATTGATTTCATAGATTTTAATTAATCTAATATAATATTATTCTCACTGTTCTTTGTTGATATACTTTTATTAGGCTAAATAATGTTCATATTATTAAGATTTAAGAGGTCTGAAAAATTAAATGATTTTAGTGTTGGGTCTAGGCTTACATTACTAATAAGTACTTAGTAATTACAATTATTAATTAGAACTTGGGCTAACAAAGTACTTGGACTAGATTTAGAACACGCTCATACTGTGCTTTGAGTTTTCTCTCACTGGTTTACAAAAGAACACAGGTGGGCTGCAATGTTTGTAATTTGCCTATATCTTTCGGTCACAGGCGATCATTTTAATGTGATAGGCCTCTTAATTTTATAGGTCTGATGAACTGTATTTGATAGGTTAACTTTTCTGGTTGACAAAACTACTTGAGTGAGCATCTGTCTGTCACTACGCAAGCGAGATGCCTGTCATGCGCACTGCCAGTGATGCTGTTTAGAATGCATTTCTCATTAACTTGATCAATTTTAGTGCGATTACTGTTTTAAAAAAATAGATACAAATCTTAACAATATTTTAAACTCAGCATGGACAAAGCTTTGTGAATAACACACAGGTTTCAAGTCCAGTAAGGGAGGAGGGTTAGATTCATTTTACAATGACATTGCTATCATTTATAAATTACCCTAATTAAACATTGCTAAAACACACTAATTAAGCCTAATCAAAACTGAAATAAACATGCATATGAATAACTTTTAAAAATTTAGATCTAGATCTATATTATATATTCTTAAACATTCATTAGCCTATATTAAAAAAATAGTAAATATGTTACATGACATAACCAAGTTACGAGCATCCTTTCAATTAGCCTCCGTGTTAGCCTCTACTGATTTTACATAGATCTACCTAAAACTAAAATAAAACGATAGATTAGCCAGGCTTAATTAGTATTTCTGGTAATCTATCGTTTTAGGTACGTAAAATCGCCCGCGACTTGTAATGTGAAAAACAGGTGACTCCTTAAATTTTAATAATTATTTCACATTTTGAGGAGGATTTATGTTTTTTAAAATACAAAAATGTTTCCTTGTTTCATTTATGTATCTGTTTTTAAAAAATTGAATTAAAACTTTTCATTAATAAATGAAGACTAGCGATGTTTCCAACAGATGCAACCAAGCTCATTTACTATAGCACTACTATAGCAGCCATCTTGTTTAAGTTTTATTTTTATAAGATTCAGGGGGAAGCCACTCTATTTTACACGTCTGCTGTTTATATAGCAAATCTTGCTCGCAGACACTGCTGTTTAAAGTTAATTTCTGGCCTATTTGATATATTTAGCCATTGATTTAGGTTTATTATCCATTTATCTATAATATTTGACACAAACATATCACAATACACCTCTATTAAAGCCTTGACAATGAGGTAACGTTTTCGTACATTAATAGCCGCGGGCGATTTTACGTACCCAAAACGATAGATTACCGTATTTCTATTTACTAGCCTATAGGCCTATAATAAGAAACGGGTATTTACTATTTTCGGGAGAATGTTTACACCGGTGTCTGATAATGGAATCTTCTTTTAAAAAGGGGTGTTAGGTTACTGGTAGTTAACTAAATACACACATGGCTGGCTATTGTCAATGCTAACCCTGTCCCTAACCCCAACCCTGGTCCAACCATACGCCTAACCCTAATTTCTAACCATAAAATTAGTCGAGATTACAATACTACTAACTACTAACAACCCAACACCCCTTTTTTAGAGAAGATTCCATTTGATTATCGGACACTGGTATCTATAATCATCCCTATTTTCTATTACTAAAATTGAAGATGGGTTCAAAATCACTGTTTATTGTGTATCCCTCTCTGCTAACTTACTTTACTATTTTGTCTTATACTAAGATTCTAATCTAAGATGTAAGATCTAATTTTAAGTCCTAATGAAAACGAAACCGAGCCGCCATCTTTGTAAATTGCTTCGAGGCGCTGGGCCGTGAGATAAAAAAATATATATCCTATATATATAATTTTAATAATCAATCAAACCCGTAGATCTCTAGACCTAGACCTACTTATTCAGTATTCAATCTTTCTTGTTACAAGACTAGAATCTAGATGATAAAGATAAATAGTATTAAATAGATCTAGATCTAGATCTAAATAAAGTTTTTAAATATACTCTTCAGCCAATTAAGAATAAAAAAATAAGTTTTTACCTTTTATTAATTCGCATTGTAACTCTTGTATATAATATATATATATATATATATATATATATATATATATATATATATATATATATATATATATATATATATATATATATATATATATATGGGCTATATATATGGGCTATATATATATGGGCTATATATATATATATATATATATATATATATATATATATATATATATATATATATATATATATATACTATAATGCCCCATCTTATCCATTCTCTATCGCACATAGTGCTCACGGGATACCACGGGTCGCCAAATTGCACCCTGCCCGGTCGTCACCCGTGCAAAATTTTGTTTTCCTTGGAGTATTCTGAGCAACATTCCAAAGTTTCATGGCAATCGGATGAAAGGTGTAGTAATGCATAAAAGGCAAATAAAGTCTTAATCATTGGTTTACCGTCGTCTTAGACGAATGGCCTTGTTTTCTAAAATTGTTATTTAATTGTAAACAACTCCTGCGCTAGGATCATATTTATCGGGGCACGGCTTTGTCTACACTAATGCCCAGCACATAAAAGCATTGAGTGTATGCTAATCACTCACAGTAGTATCACAGTTAATCACTCACCGCGCCGCGTACGGAACCGGGCTCCGTTTAATTATCAAATGTCGTGTGCCGTCTTGTCAATAATGTATGGTTCTTCTTAAAACTAACTTAGGCGCCATAGTGCTCACGGGATAGCGTAGGTCGCCAAATCGCACCCTGCTGTTTGCCGGCGGACGCGCCTGATTCAATTTAGTAAAAGAATATAGACTTGATCGCCCTAATGTAATATATCTAAAGTGCTTATAATCTAAACTTATTTGGTTACAAAATTAATATTGAAGGTGTTCTAAAACAAATTTCATTTTCCAAACTTAGTTATCTAGCACTAATAACGCCTCATGATAAATCAGAAAAACACAATTACTTCCCTTTAAAAAAAAACCTTACATCGCGGGAAAAACAAAACTTTTTATTACCGTGTTTTGGTGTTGGGAAAAAAAATAATTACATAATTAGCGGAGATTGATAAAGTGCAATATGATAAGTAAAACACATTTTAAATACTGCCTTCAATTTATTGTATACACTGAACGTACTGTTTACTAAATACTATTTGTAATCAATAACAGTTTAGAAGCCGCTCCTAAATGTACTCTATGTTTACTTCTATCTTTCTGTTTGCGGATAAGCTTGAGGTATCATAGTCGTTCTCTAATTTGAATAAGGCACGTCCGCAAGCGCCCCGACAGGGTTCGGTTTAGCGCTCTGGGCTCCCATGTGAGAGCTATGGTGCATAATTTCGTTTTAAACAGTGCAATTGACAATGGATAAGAATGGTTACTTAAGTCTTTAACTGAATCGAATAAGGGCGCCATCCAGTGCCCCGACAGGGTGCTATTTGGCGCCCCAGGCCTTACCGTGTTCGCTATGTCCCCTACGTTCGTTTAAGTGGGTGCTAAAAGACTATGAATAAGTTAGGGTACTATAGTCATTTACTAAGTTTAATCAAGCGGTTCCAGCGTTGCCCCAAGCTAGACTGTAAGCACTTTGCATTTATGTTTGGATTTAAGATTGTATTTATGTTGACGTTTATTTGAATTATTTGAGTTATGGTTTGCTTTAGTATTTCTATTTGTATTTGCTTTTTTGTTTGCGATTGTGTTTTCTTTGTGTTTGGGTTTGCGTTTTTGTTTGCATTTGGATTAGTTTTCGTTTACTTTTTTGTTTTCGTTTGTGTTTTTATTTGTGTTATGTTTGCAATTTCGTTTGTGGTCGGTTCGGGTTAATTAGAAAAGCAATATATTTCCTAAACCCGGGCAAAGCCGGGTACCCTATAAGTCTATACGAGGCACAAATGTTTTTTACAATAATGGATCCTATGTTAAAGGCCTAGCAAAACAATTAACATTATTGTTATAATGTGTGGTAGTGGTCTTGGAAAATATAATAGCCTATAGGCTGAGGAAAAGTAAAAATATCTAATTTCTCTGTTAATACATCTGCATATTTTCAACAATTGTATTAAATCAAAATTTAATTGTGTTGGAAGTCATATTAACATGTGTATGTAGGGTGTGACAAGGTGGTGTAAAATGTGCTATTGAATATATTAATATAAATTTTTTCAAATGGTTTACAGTACCCATAATGAGAATTAGAAAGACACTACATTTCTTTTTGCTTTTAAATGAAGTTAAATAAGTATAACAATGAACATATTTTTAAAAAAATGTACTAATAATTTGCAGAAGAATTTTTATACTGTCATAAAAGTCAAATGTTAACTTTACATGACATGCCAAGCAAGCCTTTGTTTTCTGACACTGACCTCAGCTACCTGGCATGTTAAGGCATTAAATTTAAATAATCAGAAGAGGGTCAAATTAACCCCAGCATTCAACACACAGTGGTCTTATTGGAATTAATAATGTTAGAATACAGACATTGGTAGTAAAACACTAAAAAGAATTTGATAGATTTAGTTAGCAATTTTAATTTCATGTTACAATCTTATACCAGTTTACTACAGTAACATTTTCATTAAAGTGTTTTTAAAAATAAAGAATACAAAATTAAACACATCAAAACAACAATTTTGATAAAAATATGATACCAAAATGTCAAAACATACCCTTTGCAGGTTTAGTGTTCTTGCTTTTTAATGTTTAACTTGTATGTGGTGTTATTGTTTCAAGCATTTGAAACTGATAGTTGTGTTAGTAAATGACCCCACTTAACCTCGATGAGACCAAAGAAAAAGATCAACTATAAATGTTTAGCAGCAAAGATGGTGAAAAATGGGTAATTTACTATTATAATTTATTAAGAACAGTTTTCTGTTACCTGTAAATTACATTAAAATTTATGCAATGAACCTTTTGCAATTTTTACAAATATACATAAATATATATAAGTGACCTAGAAGTAGAACTTTAACATTATCCTATTATTAACATATACAGATTGTGAATGAGTTAAAGATAAGAAATTCTATTCTATTGATGCTTCAACAATCTAAGTAATGTAACATATTATTAACCACCATTCTGGTTAAAGTTTTCATGACAAATATCATATTTATAAAATCTCATATATGAATTTCTTTGTGCTACTATAACATCACTTTCACATGGCTTAACACCTGAATGAGCTTTTCTATGTTTATTTAAATTAGCACTGTTTAAAATCCTTTTATGACAAACATCGCATCCATAACACTTAACTAATAAAAGAATATTTTTTGGTTTGCTTAGAGAAGAACTGTCTGAAAACTTTTTGTGTCAAACATCACATTCATTTGGATTATCTCCTGAATGAACTCTTTTGTGTTTATTTAAGTAAGAACTCTGAGAAAACCATTTATGACAAACATCACATTCATATGGCATATTTCCTGAATGAACTCTTTTGAGTCTATTAAACTTAGAACTGTCTGAAAACCTTTTATGACAAACTTCACATTTATAAGGATTAACTACTAAATGAATTCTTTTGGTGTTTCCTTGGAGTAGAACTGTCTAAAAACCTTTTATGACAAACATCACATTCAAATTGTTTATCTCCTGAATGAAATCTTTTGTGTCTATTCAAACTAAAACTCTGAGAAATCTTTTTACGACAAACATCACATTCATAAGGCTTAACTACTAAATGATTATTTTTTTGTTTGCTTAGAGTAGAACTGTCTGTAAAATTTTTAAGACAAACATCACATTAATATGGATTTTCTCCTAAATGAAATCATCTGTTTCTATTTAAATTAGAACTCTGAGAAATCTTATTACGACAAACATCACATTCATAAGGCTTAACTACTAAATGATTATTTTGAACTCTTTTGTGTTTGCTTAGAGTAGAACTGTGTGGAAACTCTTTATGATAAACATCACATTTATATAGCTTAACACAAGAATGAACAATTTTATGTTTGCTTACAGTAGAACTGTAAAACATCACATTCAAATTGTTTATCTCCTGAATAAACTCTTTTGTGTTTCCTTAAATCAGAATTGCCAGAAAACATTTTGTGACAAAGATCACATTCATGTGTTACTAGTGGCTGCTTAGAGCAAAAATTTTAGAAAAATATTTATGGTAATCATCACATTCATGTGGCTTATCTCCAGAATGAACTTTTTTATGCTTCCTTAAACTAGAACTATATGAAAACTTTTTATGACAAACATCACATTCAAATGGTTTATCTTCTGAATGAACTTGTTTGTGTGCATATAAATTAGAACTCTGAGAAAACTTTTTTTGACAAACATCACATTCAAATGGTTTATCTCCTGAATGAACTGCTGTTTTGTGTTTTGTTAAATCAGAATTCCTTGAAAACCTTTTGTGACAAAGATCACATTCATGTGGCTTCTGTCAATTTGGCTCCAGACAAAAGGACCACTGACAATACCGTTTCTGTAGAGACTAAGTCTCCCGGCAAAGCGGTCTCATTGAATATGATACCTGCCAGTGGGACCCCTTCATCAATATTCTTTAGTTAGCTTATCCAACACTTTTATGTAATACAACGTATGCATCTCTTGTTCGGCAGGCCTTATTTTTATATTCGTTTATCTATTATAAAATATAGTATGTTTTAATTTAAGGGTCATTTATTTATGACATCCATAAGTGAGTCAGTTATAGGCTGTTCAAACTCAGTGTGTGGGGAGAAGGGTCCACGCTGTACCTTCCTCCTACCTCCAATAGGCTTGTAGGTTATCAAAACAAAATGCTGTTATCATGTTAACATCATGTATATCATATATTTACACTTCTGTGCTCGCTTTTAAGCAACAGATCTTTTCTGTTGTAAATTAAACATTATCAAAACTTTAGAATTGGTGAAATTTAGCTGTTAAGGGCTCACTTTGTTTGTGAATTAATGTTGGTTCATGAAAAACAATTTCATTCGGGCATTTAAAAGAGTATATAGTGGTATTGGAGGTAGGACAAAATCGTTACTTTTATGCCAATAGTGGTCATGCCATTCATTGGTCTGGAGCCAATATGTCGGGAGCCCAATTGCCGGTAGCCCATTTGTCGGTAGCCAATATGTCGTGAGCCGATTTGTCGGGAGCCCATTTGTCTTGAGCACTTATATCGGGAGCCAATATGTCGGGAGCCGCTTTCTTTAAGAAACATATTTATGGCAATCATCACATTCATCTGGCTTATCTCCAGTATGAACTTTTCTATGTTTCCTTAAATAAGAACTATATGAAAACTTTTTATGACAAACATCACATTCAAATGGTTTATCTTCTGAATGAACTTTTTTGTGTGTATATAAACTAGAACTCTGAGAAAACTTTTTATGACAAACATCACATTCAAATGGTTTATCTCCTGAATGAACTCTTTTGTGTGCATATAAATTAGAACTATATGAAAACTTTTTATGACAAACATCACATTCAAATGGTTTATCTTCTGAATGAACTTTTTTGTGTGTATATAAACTAGAACTATATGAAAACTTTTTTTGACAAACATCACATTCAAATGGTTTATCTTCTGAATGAACTCTTTTGTGTGTATATAAACTAGAATGAGAAAACTTTTTATGACAAACATCACATTCAAATGGTTTATTTTCTGAATGAACTCTTTTGAGTGCATATAAATTAGAACTATATAAAAACTTTTTATGACAAACATCACATTCAAATGGTTTATCTTCTGAATGAACTCTTTTGTGTGCATATAAACTAGAACTCCGAGAAAACTTTTTTTGACAAACATCACATTCAAATGGTTTATCTCCTGAATGAACTCTTTTGTGTGCATATAAACTAGAACTCTGAGAAAACTTTTTATGACAAACAGCACATTCATGAGGCTTATCTCCTGAATGAGCTTTTTTGTGTGTCGCTAAATAAGAATTCCTTGAAAACCTTTTGTGACAAACATCACATTCATACTGTCTAACTAGTAAATGTATTTTTTTGTGGCTGCTTAGAGCAGAACTATTAGAGAACTTTTTATGACAAACATCACATTCATGAGGCTTTTCTCCTGAATGAACTTTTTTGTGTTCCGCTAAATCAGAATTCCTTGAAAACCTTTTGTGACAAACATCACATTCATATGGCTTATCTCCTGAATGAATTTTTTTATGTTTACTTAACCTAGAACTATCTGAAAACCTTTTATGGCAAGCATCACATTCAAGTGGCCTCTCCCCTACTTGAGCTTGTTTATTCAAGTTAGATCTTTGAAAAAACTGTTCATGATGATCATGAGGATCAACAGACAGATATGTTTTGTCTTCAGAGAGTTTTAGCTTTTCTTCAAGTCCATTTTGTTGTTTGTCCTCAGAATCTAAAAATTTTGTCCATAAATCTGGTTTTATATCTTTGTTGGTTGATAAAGTTTCTAATTCTGGTTTTATATCTTCACTAAATGATAAAATTGCTAATTCTGGTTTTAGATCTTCACTAGTTGATTTATTTTCTAATTCTGGTTTTATATCTTCACTAGTTGATAAAATTGCTAATTCTGGTTTTATATCTTCAGATCTTGTACATACTGCTGATACAGCAGGTTCCATATCTTTAAAAATTAAAAATCCTGTTGTTTTATCTTGAGAAGTTAGAAATGTCATATGGTGTTTTACATCAGCAAAAGAGGAAAATGTACATTCTGACTTTGTGTCTGTAGAAGATGAAAAATCTGGCGTAACAACGGTTTTATTATCCTGTGAATTTATAAATGTCATGTTTGGTTTGATATCACGGAAAGTTAAAAATGATAATTCTGTTTTTATGTCAGAAGAAGTTGAAAATACTGTAGATAGAAGTGGCTTCACATCTTCAGAATTTGAAAATTCTTTAAACTCATCAGACTGTAAATCTAAATCAGCAGTTGCCTCTCCCATGCTGCTTCTTATAAATGAACTGAGGATTAGATATTTAAATGTTAAAGTGGTGATTATATAAATCTAGTAACTATTGTCAAAACAAAGTTTTTTCAATAAAACTTCTCAGAAGCATAATAAAATATCTTAGAAATGAATTTAGATAGCTTAAAGTTAATACAATCAATAAACAATTTTAAAAATAAAATAATGTATTGTATATGCCTAAGAGTGGCGGATTATGGTAGAAAATAAAATCAAACTTAACATTTTTTTTGTTTTATACAATATTTGTACAAAATTAACATGCCATGCTTTTTAAATTGACAGAAGGTAAGTATACCATGTTACAAAAACTGCAATCATAACAATTCATATTTTCACTTTAAAAAATGAAAAAAAAAACAATCATCAATGAGGAAAGCGCAACGCTTTATGTTTTTAAAATATGGGGCCACATGACAAATAATAAATCTGGCCAAATGATTGGCTTTGGGCGCAGCACACATCTAAACGCTCCTTGTTTTTCACAAGATTATAATTAATTGGCATTAATCAGGAGGGGGGGGGGGGGGTATATGACTGGCATAGTGACCACACCTAAGGACATGAGAATTATTCCCAAACCGTTGTTTAATTATACACGGCATAACATTAGAATCATAGTTTAGAAGTTTATTTGATTGTAAGTTCATTTTAAAACAAGAATATACAAAGCTACTTTCACTTCTTCTTTTTCTTCTTCGTTCTTAATTATTAGTGTTGAAGGTGATCGAGATTTATCTGCCAGTGGGTTTGAAATTGAGACTTTGTTAGAATTTATCAACCATGAGCTTTTTGCCGACTCGACCACGCCTCCAACACAATTAAGCGTTACGTGTCAATTGGTTATGCGCCATTGAGGCCATTGACTCCGATTTCAGCCTGCTTTTCTTTTTGGATTTGCTTCCATAGCCTTTGTCCAACCAAGAACAAACTACAAGGCAGCAGTTGTTTAATTTTGGAGTTGTCTCTCCTAGAAGAGTGGCTGTCCCCAGCTAACGAGCCTCATCTGCCCGAGGGTTCGAACTCGTGACTTTTCGGTTTAGCAACCATGAGCTTTACCGACTCGACCACGCCGACCCCTCTACTTTCACTAAAGTGTCGCTTGCGAGATAAATAAAGAAATTAGGTCAAAAGTACACCTTACTATTCTTAATTAACAGACTAAGGTAATCTATGATTTTATGTACATAAAATCTACAGAGGCTAGTAATGTTAAAAAGCCAGTAGTTATCTCCCCTAAGCTTTCTCGAATATTCTTATATAACACTACGGCGGATTGGCAACTCAGGATATACTATATATAGACATGATTTTTAAATCCATGTTTAAGTACTTAAAGTTTTAAAAATAGAATAGAATCTTGTAGAAAAAAAGAATTGCACACCAAAGAAATGCGAAACAAAATGTGTATAATAGTGCGGAATATTATTAGTACTTTATATATTCACAAGCATTTTTGAGAAATTAGAAATAGCGTCCATTACTACTTCTGGTCAATGGAAAATACTCTAAATTTGAAAGAAGGTGGAAAATTAGATCTTTTACTTACATATCAAATTTCATTTGGCTATCTAAAACAGAACTCAAGTTATAGGCTTTTGAAAAATTTAAAGTAGAATTAGTTCCACTTCCGGTTAATCAGAAATTGCTGAAAAGTTGATACAGAACTAGAAATTTGATATAATGTTTATATATGAAATTTTATCAACATAGCTGTAACTGTACTCAAGTTATCGTGTTCACAGACACACATACACTGAAAGAATTGCAAAGCCCAGTTTTTCAGACTCGATTATGCATAAAACGTCAAAAATTTGATAAATGTGGGTTTATAATTTTTGCCCGATTAAAATAAGTCTTCTATACTCCAGATGAAGGACTGAGGTGAAAAACGGTGAAAACCGTCAAAATTTCATGTGATTTTTGTGCACTATCAGAATACTTTCTCTATACCCTGTATACGAGAAAGTAAAAAAAGGGTGACGTATCAAATTTTTGTAATTAGTTGGCATTTTTAGAAGGATTCACATTTTGAGAGCTACAAAAATGTTACAAACTTTTGATGTGCCTGTTTTAAAACATCAGTAGTAAAACTTTTCAGTAATAAATAAAGATTAACGATGTTTTCACTTGATGCAACCAAGCTCATTTACTAAAGCAGCCATCTTGTTAAAGTTTTTTGGTAACATTTAAGCTAGAGATTCAAGGGAAACTACCCTAATTTACAGTTGGCCGTTGTTTATATAGCAAATCTTGCTCGCAAACTAGGCTGTTTAAAGTTAATTTCTGGCTTATATTGATATATTTGGACATTGATTTTGGTTTATTATTCAATTATCTATTACTATTATATTTGACACAAAAATATTAGTATTACTCACTACCTTGGAGGTGTGGATCGTTGCTAACATCAATATGAAGTCCACACCAGATGCATGACTTTCAAAGATTTTTCATCTTAGCTCCAGTGACCTTCTTACAATTAGTTTTTAAAACGTTTACCAAGAGCAAAAATGTGGGTTTTTCATGTTATACAAACAAGCTATAGGTGGCAGGGCAAAATATGCCAGAAAAACATTTTAAAATTTGCTTTGGAGAAGGAAGGTATATTTAAAAGTTGGTACCATTAAAAATGATAGAACTTAAAAATTATTAGCCCGGGAAGTAGAAAAATTAATTGAAGATTGAAGAACTATTAGGTTTATCAGTCTATTAATATATATATATATATATATATATATATATATATATATATATATATATATATATATATATATATATATATATATATATATATATCCAATATATAATACAACATAATTAGTTTAAAATGTTAGTACAATCTCTAGACCTACCCCATGCATGTAAACCACAATACAAACAACTCTGTTTATAGTGGCAGTGGTCACTTTTTCTACTGTTGGTAATATAGAAATGTGTAGAAGTATCTAAGAAATTTTTTTAGTAGGCCTGAACTATAACAAGTGGTAGGCCTACAACACAAATGTACACTGTCGTATGCCTGCTTTTACAACATACCCAGGTATATGGCTAATTTCCACATCAAAATCTAAAACCTTATGCTGCACCATTTCACCACCAATGTCCCCCACCTTGATATGCGCGCTGACGTAAAAAAAAAATATTGTGGAAATTCGTAAGTACACATCGCAGAATTACAGAAACGTTATTTTTACTAAGAAATCACTTCAGAAGTGGGGTTGGTGTGGTCGAGTCGGTAAAGCTCATGGTTGCTAAACCAATATGTCTCGAGTTTGAACACTCGGGCAGATGAGGCTCGTTAGCAGAGGGCAGCCACTCTTCTAGGAGAAACAACTCCAAAATCAAACAACTTCTGCCTTGTAGTTTGTACTTGGATGGACAAAAGCTATGGAAGCGAATCCAAAAAGAAAAGCAGGAAGAAATCAGAGTCAATGGCTTCAATGGCACATAACCAGGTGACACATATATTTCATTATGAAGAAGAAGATTTCAGAAGGAACTATGCTAATACTGATGTAAAAAATCTAGCGCCCCACCTCCCCCTAAAGCAAATAGCTGATTTTTTTTTACAAGTGGTGGGAGGAGAAAATAGGATGAGTGCAGTGACAGCAGCAATTTTCACAAACACTGCATTTCAAGGTTTTTTTTAAATTTCAAGGACCTTTACAACTGTTAAAAAACAACTATAGATAGATCGTGTAAAAAAAATATTATAGCAGGCCTACATATTTTGTTTGCAGACCCAAAACCAGACACATTTTTTGAAAATTTTGCTTAACAGTAAAGTGACTTTCTTAGAATTTGGTTTTTAAAAAATGATTATCACGTGAAAAATGGCAGATTTTAAGCATATTTTTATGCTACCTGAAGATGACAAAGCCATTTTTGCCAGAAAAAAATTTAATTAGCTTCCAACATTGAAGGTCAAACATAAACATGGGTAAAGTTTTAAGTTGCTTAAAAACTTAAAATATCAATCTGTAAGGTTCCAAACTTGCACTGTTAGGTAGGGTATTATTAGATTGATCTGTTTCTGAATTAAAATTGTAAATATTCTGTACTCATTTTGAGAAAAAAAAATCATCCACATGTCACGTAAACAATATTTTTTTGTGAGTGATGTCATTGCTATTGATACGTCACGAAAACAATATTTTTTTTGTGAGTGACGTCATTGCTATTGATACGGAAGCTGTTTAGTAGTATCCTCTGTCACTGCTTAAGTAAGTTTTCTTTTTACTTGACACTTTTTTTTACCTATTTTGCTAGCGTAATTAGGCTAATTAAGTCTCATTATGGATCTTTCACCTGGCCTTTTGGTTATACTAAGACTCTAAAAGCCCCTAAACCACAACAATCTATTATTTTGTTTTTTAATTTGTGTTAATCCCTGAAATTATTGCGAGTTGGCCTTTGTGGGCTTATTTATGCCTAATTATTTGTTGTTTTCAAATGTGTTATAGCTTAATTAATTTTTGTTAATTCTTATTGATTTCATAGATTTTAATTAATCTAATATAATATTATTCTCACTGTTCTTTGTTGATATACTTTTATTAGGCTAAATAATGTTCATATTATTAAGATTTAAGAGGTCTGAAAAATTAAATGATTTTAGTGTTGGGTCTAGGCTTGCATTACTAATTAGTACTTAGTAATTAGAATTATTAATTAGAACTTGGGCTAACAAAGTACTTGGACTAGATTTAGAACACGCTCATACTGTGCTTTGAGTTTTCTCTCACTGGTTTACAAAAGAACACAGGTGGGCTGCAATGTTTGTAATTTGCCTATATCTTTCGGTCACAGGCGATCATTTTAATGTGATAGGCCTCTTAATTTTATAGGTCTGATGAACTGTATTTGATAGGTTAACTTTTCTGGTTGACAAAACTACTTGAGTGAGCATCTGTCTGTCACTACGCAAGCGAGATGCCTGTCATGCGCACTGCCAGTGATGCTGTTTAGAATGCATTTCTCATTAACTTGATCAATTTTAGTGCGATTACTGTTTTAAAAAAATAGATACAAATCTTAACAATATTTTAAACTCAGCATGGACAAAGCTTTGTGAATAACACACAGGTTTCAAGTCCAGTAAGGGAGGAGGGTTAGATTCATTTTACAATGACATTGCTATCATTTATAAATTACCCTAATTAAACATTGCTAAAACACACTAATTAAGCCTAATCAAAACTGAAATAAACATGCATATGAATAACTTTTAAAAATTTAGATCTAGATCTATATTATATATTCTTAAACATTCATTAGCCTATATTAAAAAAATAGTAAATATGTTACATGACATAACCAAGTTACGAGCATCCTTTCAATTAGCCTCCGTGTTAGCCTCTACTGATTTTACATAGATCTACCTAAAACTAAAATAAAACGATAGATTAGCCAGGCTTAATTAGTATTTCTGGTAATCTATCGTTTTAGGTACGTAAAATCGCCCGCGACTTGTAATGTGAAAAACAGGTGACTCCTTAAATTTTAATAATTATTTCACATTTTGAGGAGGATTTATGTTTTTTAAAATACAAAAATGTTTCCTTGTTTCATTTATGTATCTGTTTTTAAAAAATTGAATTAAAACTTTTCATTAATAAATGAAGACTAGCGATGTTTCCAACAGATGCAACCAAGCTCATTTACTATAGCACTACTATAGCAGCCATCTTGTTTAAGTTTTATTTTTATAAGATTCAGGGGGAAGCCACTCTATTTTACACGTCTGCTGTTTATATAGCAAATCTTGCTCGCAGACACTGCTGTTTAAAGTTAATTTCTGGCCTATTTGATATATTTAGCCATTGATTTAGGTTTATTATCCATTTATCTATAATATTTGACACAAACATATCACAATACACCTCTATTAAAGCCTTGACAATGAGGTAACGTTTTCGTACATTAATAGCCGCGGGCGATTTTACGTACCCAAAACGATAGATTACCGTATTTCTATTTACTAGCCTATAGGCCTATAATAAGAAACGGGTATTTACTATTTTCGGGAGAATGTTTACACCGGTGTCTGATAATGGAATCTTCTTTTAAAAAGGGGTGTTAGGTTACTGGTAGTTAACTAAATACACACATGGCTGGCTATTGTCAATGCTAACCCTGTCCCTAACCCCAACCCTGGTCCAACCATACGCCTAACCCTAATTTCTAACCATAAAATTAGTCGAGATTACAATACTACTAACTAGCGAGACTCACTAACTTAAAAGCGTCCTTGGTTTCTAACCAGAACATGGCTACCACACCTTGGCCTACGATTGGGCAATTTTTTCTGCTTTGTTCGAGAGACCACCTTAACATTAACTTTAAAAATAATTATCACGCGAAAAATGGCGTTTTTTTTCGTATATTTTAAGCAATCTAATGTTGACAAAGCTATTTTTGGCAGATTTTTTTTTTTTTTTTTGCTTCCGACATTGAAAGGTCAAACGTAAACATGGGTACAGTTTGAGTAGCTCAAAAACTTTAAATAATGGTCTCTAAGGTGTCAAAACTGCATGCCTAGGTCGAGTATTATTAGATTGATCGTTTAGTGAAAAAAAAATGTAAATATTATGTTCGCCTTTTAAGAAATCGGCATCGCAAAAAGGTCACTGAAAGCACGTTATTTTTTATTGTGACGTCATCGCTATTGTTACGGAAGCTGTACAGTAGTATCCTCTCGCTGCTTATATAATTGTGATTTCTTTTCACTTGACACTCTTTTTCAGCTTATTTTGCTAGCGTAATTAGACTAATTAAGCCTAATTATGGATATTTCACCTGACTTTTGGATTATACTATGACTCTAAAAACCCTTAAACCACAACGATCTGTTATTTTTTTTTTTGTTGATCCCTGGAATTAGATCTAGATTTAGTAGTGAGCGTTGGTCTTTGTGTGCTTACTTAGGCTAATGACTTAGGCCTAATTATTTGTTTTCAAATTTGTTATAGCTTAATTAATTTGTCTTAATTCTTATTGATTTCATAAATTTTAATTAGGCTAATTATAATATTATTTTCACTGGTCTTCGTTGCCTCATTATTTGTTTTCAAATTTGTTATAGCTTAATTAATTTGTCTTAATTCTTATTGATTTCATAAATTTTAATTAGGCTAATTATAATATTTTCACTGGTCTTCGTTGATACATTTATTAGGCTTAATAATGTTAATATTATTACGATTTTAGATGCATGATAGATAAATTAAATGATTTTAGCGTTGGGTCTAAGTTTACATTACTAATTAGTACTTAGTAAACCAAGTACGCATGGACTAGGACATGTGTGCTGTGCCCGCGCTGTGGCGGGCGATGCCTCTCTCGCTGACAAACCAGCGCGAGCGAGTGAGTCGTTTGACACACGTGGTCTGTGTCGATGTTTGGAATGCATAGGCATAGGCCTAATTCTCGCTCTCGGGTGATTAATTTTTATGCGCTGACATTTGAAAAATCAAATAGACACACATCTTAATTAAATACATTTAATTTGAACTTTATATTAATCTAGACCTATAATACTAATTAGGGCCTATAACTTGGGATAACAAAGTACTTGGACTAGATTTAGCGAATGCGCACACTGTGCTGTGAGTTTTCTCTCGCTGGTTGACAAAAGAACGCAGGCGGGCTAGCGATGTTTGTAATTTGCATATATCTTCGCTCACAGGCGATCATTTTAGTGCGATTGGCCTCTTTTTATTTTATAAGCCTAATTAATTGTATTTGATAGGCTAACTTTTCTGGTTGACAAAACTAAGCTAGCGAGATGTCTGTCACGCGCACTGCCCGTGACGCTGTTTAGAATGTATTTCTCGCTAACTTGATGAATTTGAATGCTATTGCAGTGTTTTTTAAAATAAATCAACTACTTACAAATCTTTACATTTTAAACTGAGCATAGACAAAACTTTGTAAATAACACACCTGTCCCAAGTCAAGTGAGAGAAGAGGGTTAGATTAATTTTACAATGACATCGCTATATTTTATGAATTGCCCTAATTAAGCATTGCTAAAACACACTAGTTAATAAAACATGCATGGGATTGAATATCTTTAAAAAGATTAGATCTATACTATATATTCTTGAACATGTTTTTCATTAATTTGAATTTAGTTTTCCTTTTTAAACACCCTTCCATTTAAAAAAAAAATTAAATAAAAATATTTAAAAATTCTATATCTAGATCTAATTCCATTATGTGATTTTTTATTCTGACGAAGACAGTGTCCATACGAATAGAAATGTGGTAATAAAATCAAATGTACTGTGCATATTCTGCTAAAATCAAATCAGCTGCAAGGTCAACCCTGCAGAGTTCGTCTCTTCAGAAAAGCATATGGCGATCTGGTTGTCACGGATTATTTGGCTTGCAATGCTTGGAGTGGCCAATTAATAAAAATCAGTAATTAAGCTCCAAATGAGTTTATTTTCAACAAATTAAGTATTTGATTGATTAGAGATTGATCTCTAGTTTCCATTGGTAATGTTTCAATCGAAAAATAACGAAATTTAAAATTAGTAAGTATCTCTACTACTAACAACCCAACACCCCTTTTTTAAAGAAGATTCCATTATCGGACACTGGTATCTATAATCATCCCTATTTTCTATTACTAAAATTGAAGATGGGTTCAAAATCACTGTTTATTGTGTATCCCTCTCTGCTAACTTACTTTACTATTTTGTCTTATACTAAGATTCTAATCTAAGATGTAAGAAGATCTAATTCTAAGTCCTAATGAAAACGAAACCGAGCCGCCATCTTTGTAAATTGCTTCGAGGCGCTGGGCCGTGAGATAAAAAAAAAATATATATATATATAATTTTAATAATCAAACAAACCCGTAGATCTCTAGACCTAGACCTACTTATTCAGTATTCAATCTTTCTTGTTACAAGACTAGAATCTAGATGATAAAGATAAATAGTATTAAATAGATCTAGATCTAAATAAAGTTTTTAAATATACTCTTCAGCCAATTAAGAATAAAAAAATAAGTTTTTACCTTTTCTTAATTCGCATTGTAACTCTTGTATAATATATATATATATATATATATATATATATATATATATATATATATATATATATATATATATATATATATATATATATATATATATATATATATATATATGGGCTATATATATATATATATATATATATATATATATATATATATATATATATACTATAATGCCCCATCTTATCCATTCTCTATCGCACATAGTGCTCACGGGATACCACGGGTCGCCAAATTGCACCCTGCCCGGTCGTCACCCGTGCAAAATTTTGTTTTCCTTGGAGTATTCTGAGCAACATTCCAAAGTTTCATGGCAATCGGATGAAAGGTGTAGTAATGCATAAAAGGCAAATAAAGTCTTAATCATTGGTTTACCATCGTCTTAGACGAATGGCCTTGTTTTCTAAAATTGTTATTTAATTGTAAACAACTCCTGCGCTAGGATCATATTTATCGGGGCACGGCTTTGTCTACACTACTGCCCAGCACATAAAAGCATTGAGTGTATGCTAATCACTCACAGTAGTATCACAGTTAATCACTCACCGCCTAAGCATCGGAGACGTGGAGTGGCGACCTCGTGAGCCCCCGACCACACTTCTGTAGGGGCGCCGCGTACGGAACCTGGCTCGGTTTAATTATCAAATGTCGTGTGCCGCCTTGTCAATAATGTATGGTTCTTCTTAAAACTAACTTAGGCGCCATAGTGCTCACGGGATAGCGTAGGTCGCCAAATCGCACCCTGCTGTTTGCCGGCGGACGCGCCTGATTCAATTTAGTAAAAGAATATAGACTTGATCGCCCTAATGTAATATATCTAAAGTGCTTATAATCTAAACTTATTTGGTTACAAAATTAATATTGAAGGTGTTCTAAAACAAATTTCATTTTCCAAACTTAGTTATCTAGCACTAATAACGCCTCATGATAAATCAGAAAAACACAATTACTTCCCTTTAAAAAAAAAACCTTACATCGCGGGAAAAACAAAACTTTTTATTACCGTGTTTTGGTGTTGGGAAAAAAAATAATTACATAATTAGCGGAGATTGATAAAGTGCAATATGATAAGTAAAACACATTTTAAATACTGCCTTCAATTTATTGTATACACTGAACGTACTGTTTACTAAATACTATTTGTAATCAATAACAGTTTAGAAGCCGCTCCTAAATGTACTCTATGTTTACTTCTATCTTTCTGTTTGCGGATAAGCTTGAGGTATCATAGTCGTTCTCTAATTTGAATAAGGCACGTCCGCAAGCGCCCCGACAGGGTTCGGTTTAGCGCTCTGGGCTCCCATGTGAGAGCTATGGTGCATAATTTCGTTTTAAACAGCGCAATTGACAATGGATAAGAAAGGTTACTTAAGTCTTTAACTGAATCGAATAAGGGCGCCATCCAGTGCCCTGACAGGGTGCTATTTGGCGCCACAGGCCTTACCGTGTTCGCTATGTCCCCTACGTTCGTTTAAGTGGGTGCTAAAAGACTATGAATAAGTTAGGGTACTATAGTCATTTACTAAGTTTAATCAAGCGGTTCCAGCGTTGCCCCAAGCTAGACTGTAAGCACTTTGCGTTTATGTTTGGATTTAAGATTGTATTTATGTTGACGTTTATTTGAATTATTTGAGTTATGGTTTGCTTTAGTATTTCTATTTGTATTTGCTTTTTTGTTGGCGATTGTGTTTTCTTTGCATTTGGATTAGTTTTCCTTTACTTTTTTGTTTTCGTTTGTGTTTTTATTTGTGTTAAGTTTGCAATTTCGTTTGTGGTCGGTTCGGGTTAATTAGAAAAGTAATATATTTCCTAAACCCGGGCAAAGCCGGGTACCCTATACGCTGATTACTAAACACACAAGTCATGGTTCTTTACAGATAGGTTTTTCACAGAGGACAGTGCAGTGCCTGGCTGAGCCGGCTAGTATATATTTATATAGAGGCCTAATACTTGCTATATATATATATATATATATATATATATATATATATATATATATATATATATATATATATATATATATATATATATATAAGTCTATACGAGGCCCAAATGTTTTTTACAATAATGGATCCTATGTTAAAGGCCTAGCAAAACAAATAACATTATTGTTATAATGTGTGGTAGTGGTCTTGGAAAATATAATAGCCTATAGGCTGAGGAAAAGTAAAAATATCTAATTTCTCTGTTAATACATCTGCATATTTTCAACAATTGTATTAAATCAAAATTTAATTGTGTTGGAAGTCACATTAATATGTGTATGTAGGGTGTGACAAGGTGGTGTAAAATGTGCTATTGAATATATTCATATACATTTTTTCAAATGGTTTACAGTACCCATAATTAGAATTAGAAAGACACTACATTTCTTTTTGCTTTTAAATGAAGTTGAATAAGTATAACAATGAACATATTTTTTAAAAAATGTACTAATAATTTGCAGAAGAATTTTTATACTGTCATAAAAGTCAAATGTTAACTTTACATGACATGCCAAGCAAGCCTTTGTTGTCTGACACTGACCTTAACTACCTGGTGAGGTAGATTGAAACACTGACAATAGAAACCATGCTGTTTGTATATAGAACTTTATTGGGCCTCAGCCACCATGATGGAAACAGGAACAGGAAGTACCAGACAATAATACAAGGGGCATCACTCAAAAACAACATTATAAATATAATACTAATACAAGAAGAGTGAGTTCCCTTGACTTAACAATTCTCAATATATTACATCCCTTTACCCTTAGTAAACACAACACATCTCTCAATAGAACAAATGATAGTATTCCAAAATCACCAATTATATTGTAACATGAACATTACATGATTTAAATCATTTGGTAGATTACATCCTTACAAACAATGCACAATATGTTACAACATAATTAAAATACAAAACAATGATGTCAAAGTCCTTTTGACCTTTAAAATCATAGGTCTAACTTATTTGGGACTTTGATTGTCCTGCTTGACCTTCTCAGTGGCTTTTGATTTGGTGACTCAAGATTCTGACCATCTGGATTCTCTATCTCAGGAGGTCTAGGATCTAAATCATTAATTCCAGAATTTACATTTTCTGACTCTAGACCACTTGGTTCACTCATATCAACAGAACATGGTTGTGGAACAAACTGAGTTGGTGTGAACTGTTCAGATTTGGTGGGATTGACAGATTCACACTTATTATCTGCACACAGGGTTCGTACTGCTTTTTGAAAATGAAATTCCAGACTTTTTCCAGACATTTTCCAGACTTTTTTGGAAAAATTCCAGACTTTAGACAGATAATGTGTTAGCGAATAATTTTTTTAAAATGATGCACTATTTGTACTGTCATTATAATTACTTGTACTAAATTGACATTTATTTTAGGCAATTGAGCTATATTCATAGTGAACTTTCTCTAGTCAAATTGACAAAAAAATATTTTTTTCTAAGTTTGCCTACTACACCCTACCTAAAATTTTAACAATTAAAATAATTGATTAAAATGAAGCAACTATTTTGTTTCCAACATTAAACTTATGTAATCTGTTCCTGATCTAATTGCTTGTTTTCAATTAAACTATCATTTAAATGGTATTGCATATTAATTACTTTAAAGAATAATATTAATAATGTAATGTATTAATTTAGGTCTGCTCTCGTTAAGTAGCCTAAATAAATATAGGCTACTTGTAAAAAAAAAAATGTGGAGCAAAAAAAAAAAACAATTAAAATAATTGATTAAAATGAAGCAACTATTTTGTTTCCAACATTAAACTTATGTAATCTGTTCCTGATCTAATTGCTTGTTTTCAATTAAACTATCATTTAAATGGTATTGCATATTAATTACTTTAAAGAATAATATTAATAATGTAATGTATTAATTTAGGTCTGCTCTCGTTAAGTAGCCTAAATAAATATAGGCTACTTGTAAAAAAAAATGTGGAGCAAAAAAAAAAAACAAGTTAATTAAAAAAGTCTAGTGACATTTGTGCGCAATTTCCTTATGTTATCTAAAAATAGCTCTGACGTATAATGTTGGGGTGCGTTCAAGCTAGAAGAACAATCGGTTTGTAGGTGTTTATGTAATTTTAAAATTTGTGACCGAACGAGAGAATATTTTTGAAAACTTTCTTCGGCAATATTGTTCTAAATTATGACAGGAATCGATTGGTACATGTTTCAAGTCGCTAAGTGGTCTGGTTGCCGAGATATGGGCCAAAAACTGCTTTTTTTCGAGATTTTTTGGCTTTTCTGGGAAATCCATGAAAGAAACCCGGAATTTTTATGGCCTATGTTCATCCTCGTAACTTGCTTAACATAATTGCTTTTGGAACTAGTCATCGATATTGCTTCGTTGAGGAGGAGATACGACTTAAAGCTGCGGACACACATTCATCCATCCATCCATCCATCCATCCAGAAATGACGGGTTAATAAACGCAATTCTCCAGAATGGAAATTGCGCTAAAAAAACATTCACTGTTTGTGCTTATAGTAATAGCTGAGAAACGCGTCTGCAATTAAAAAAAGTTGCCGGTATCCTTCTTCCCCCCCCCCCCCCCCCCCTCACAGTCACGACACGGTGAATGGGTCACTGTGAGGTCATAGTAGTCTAGACTTCAGTATGCCTGTTAAATACGTCATAACATGAACTGTGCTGTGACTTATACCCCCTCCCCCACCCTCCTTACCAAGCAGTACCAACTACGCACTTGGGGTCACGGTGAGTTCACACAAGTGACCGATGTTACAAGGAGGGGCGGGGTAGTCTAACTTTAATCGTCAGCGTTGATTTCAAAAACAGTTTAATGGAAGGTGGATTAAAAAAAAATAAAGGGGTCATCCATTTATGACGTACACATGGAGGGGGGAAGGGGTCGGAAGATTTTGTGATTACATTCTAAAACAAACATAAAACTTGTATCTTGCGATCAGAAAGTAAAATTAAGACGATTGTGCTGGTGTTTAAAAAACCATCACAGCGTGTAAATAAAACACGGTAATTATATCTGCCTTAACATTATTGCAAGAGCGTGTCGTCACACTTTATAACACCCCCCCCCCTCCCGACTTTCCGGAGTGTGACGTCATTTATGGACGACTCCTTAATAAAAACAGTACCTCTTTGTTAAGCTGAAGCAAACAGAAATACAGGTATGAACCCAAGGAGGCCTTGCGACTTATTAATCATATAAACGTTAATATTAATCCAAAGTAAGTGAACGCGTGTGGACAGAGGGCGGGGGAGTGGGGAAGGGGGGTGTCTAAAATCCGAAAAATTGCTGTAAGTCATAAATGGATGACGCCTTACACTTACAGACTGATAAATTGTATCTAAACTACCACTCACCTATCTCCCCCATAATTTTTTGTTATGGCTGCCTGCGTGCAAACTCAAACGATGAAAAAATAGCGGGTAAAATCGAGAGCCTAACAATCATGACGGCGATCATTCTTTTATTAAACGACAATTGTAAGTACTTGTAACACATTCACACGGTCAGTCGTGCCACAAAATATCTCTTCCCTCCCTTCCCCTCTTCTCTCAATGACGTCGTAACTGAGAATCCGTTTTTTTCTGTGAACCAGCGAAAAAACGTACAACATAGTGTAAACCCGCGCGGTAGCGCGGGGAAAAAAAATGGAGTACATTCACTTTAAAAAAAAGGAATTTTTTAAAGTTGGAAAAAAAGGGACTACGAAGTTTTGTTTCTAAAACTAGATTCCAGACTTTTTCCAGACTTTTAAAAAATCCTGCCCAAAAACTAGCGATTTTCCAGACTTTTTCAAGTCTTAAATTCACTTTTCTAAATTCAAGACTTTTTCCAGACTTTCCAGTCTGCGTACGAACCCTGTGCACAAGTTATTTTTAACTGGTCTGCGTGTCTACGGACAATAAGTCCATCATTTGTTTTTACTTTATAAGACACAGGTCCTGTACATTGAACAATTTGACCTGGCATCCATTTTTCCCCTCTCCCATAATTTCTCAGATACACATCATCATTTACTCCAAATTCTCTTTCAATGGATGTTTTGTCATGATTTACTTTTTGTGTATGTTGATGTTGGGAAACAGACCTTTGAACAGTTGGATGTAGTAGGTCAAGATGAGTTTTAATTTTCCTACCACATAGCAATTCACATGGTGCAACACCTGTTGTTATATGAGGAGTTGTGCGGTATTTGGCTAAGAACCTGTTTACTCTTTCTCTGAGAGAAAACTTGACACTGACCTCAGCTACCTGGCATGTTAAGGCATTAAATTTAAATAATCAGAAGAGGGTCAAATTAACCCCAGCATTCAACACACAGTGGTCTTATTGGAATTAATAATGTTAGAATACAGACATTGGTAGTAAAACAATAAAAAGAATTTGATAGATTTAGTTAGCAATTTTAATTTCATGTTACAATCTTATACCAGTTTACTACAGTAACATTTTCATTAAAGTGTTTTTAAAAATAAAGAATACAAAATTAAACACATCAAAACCACAATTTTGCTAAAAATATGATATTAAAATGTCAAAACATACCCTTTGCAGGTTTAGTGTTCTTGCTTTTTAATGTTTAACTTGTATGTGGTGTTATTGTTTCAAGCATTAGAAACTGATAGTTGTGTTAGTAAATGACCCCACTTAACCTTGATGAGACCAAAGAAAAAGATCAACTATAAATGTTTAGCAGCAAAGATGGTGAAAAATGGGTAATTTACTATTATAATTTATTAAGAACAGTTTTCTGTTACCTGTAAATTACATTAAAATTTATGCAATGAACCTTTTGCAATTTTTACAAATATACATAAATATATATATAAGTGACCTAGAAGTAGATGTTAAACATTATCCTATTATTAACATATACAGATTGTGAATGAATTAAAGATAAGAAATTCTATTCTATTGATGCTTCAACAATCTAAGTAATGTAACATATTATTAACCACCATTCTGGTTAAAGTTTTCATGACAAATATCATATAAAATCTCATATATGAATTTCTTTGTGCCTACTATAACATCACTTTCACATGGCTCAACACCTGAATGAGCTTTTCTATGTTTATTTAAATTAGCACTGTTTAAAATCCTTTTATGACAAACATCGCATCCATAACACTTAACTAATAAAAGAATATTTTTTGGTTTGCTTAGAGAAGAACTGTCTGAAAACTTTTTGTGTCAAACATCACATTCATTTGGATTATCTCCTGAATGAACTCTTTTGTGTTTATTTAAGTAAGAACTCTGAGAAAACCATTTATGACAAACATCACATTCATATGGCATATTTCCTGAATGAACTCTTTTGAGTCTATTAAACTTAGAACTGTCTGAAAACCTTTTATGACAAACTTCACATTTATAAGGATTAACTACTAAATGAATTCTTTTGGTGTTTTCTTTGAGTAGAACTGTCTAAAAACCTTTTATGACAAACATCACATTCAAATTGTTTATCTCCTGAATGAAATCTTTTGTGTCTATTAAAACTAAAACTCTGAGAAATCTTTTTACGACAAACATCACATTCATAAGGCTTAACTACTAAATGATTATTTTTTTGTTTGCTTAGAGTAGAACTGTCTGTAAAATTTTTATGACAAACATCACATTAATATGGATTTTCTCCTAAATGAAATCATCTGTTTCTATTTAAATTAGAACTCTGAGAAATCTTTTTACGACAAACATCACATTCATAAGGCTTAACTACTAAATGATTATTTTGAACTCTTTTGTGTTTGCTTAGAGTAGAACTGTGTGGAAACTCTTTATGATAAACATCACATTTATATAGCTTAACACAAGAATGAACAATTTTATGTTTGCTTACAGTAGAACTGTAAAACATCACATTCAAATTGTTTATCTCCTGAATAAACTCTTTTGCGTTTCCTTAAATCAGAATTGCCAGAATACATTTTGTGACAAAGATCACATTCATGTGTTACTAGTGGCTGCTTAGAGCAAAAATTTCAGAAAAATATTTATGGCAATCATCACATTCATGTGGCTTATCTCCAGAATGAACTTTTTTATGCTTCCTTAAACTAGAACTATATGAAAACGTTTCATGACAAACATCACGTTCAAATGGTTTATCTTCTGAATGAACTTGTTTGTGTGCATATAAATTAGAACTCTGAGAAAACTTTTTTTGACAAACATGACATTCAAATGGTTTATCTCCTGAATGAACTGCTTTATTGTGTTTCGTTAAATCATAATTCCTTGAAAACCTTTTGTGACAAGGATCACATTCATGTGGCTCCTGTCAATTTGGCTCCAGACAAAAGGACCACTGACAATACCATTTCTGTAGAGACTAAGTCTCCCGGCAAAGCGGTCTCATTGAATATGACACCTGCCAGTGGGACCCCTTCATCAATATTCTTTAGAGTTAGCTTATTCAACACTTTTATGTAATACATTACAAAGTATGCATCTCTTGTTCGGCAGGCCTTATTTTTATATTCGTTTATCTATTATAAAATATAGTATGTTTTAATTTAAGGGTCATCTATCTATGACATCCATAATTGAGTCGGTTATAGGCTGTGTGTGAGAAGGATCCACGCTGTACCTTCCTCCTACCTCCAGTATGCTTGTAGGTTATCAAAACAAAATGCTGTTATCATGTAAACATCATGTATATCATACATTTACACTTCTGTGCTCGCTTTTAAGCAACAGATCTTTTCTGTTGTAAATTTAACATTATCAAAACTTTAGAATTGGTGAAATTTAGCTGTTAAGGGCTCGCTTTGTTGGTTCATTCGGGCATTTAAAAGAGTTTATAGTTGTATTAGAGGTAAGATAAAATTGTTACTTTTATGCCAATAGTGGTCATGCAATTAATTGGTCTGGAGCCAATATGTCGAGAGTCATTTAGTCAAAGCCAATATTTTGGGAGCCCAATTGCCAGGAGCCAACATGTCAGGAGCCCTTATCTTGAGCCCTTATATCGGCAGCCAATATGTCGGGAGTCTTTATTTCAGAAAAATATTTCGGGCAATCACCACATTCTCGTGGTTTATCTCCAGTATGAGCTTTTCTATGTTTCCTTAAATAAGAACTAGATGAAAACTTTTTATGACAAACATCACATTCATGAGGCTTAACTACTAAATGAATTTTTGTGTGTCTGTTTAGATGAGAACTGTCTAAAAACTTTTTATGACAAACATCACATTCATGTGGTTTATCTCCAGTATGAACTTTTCTATGTTTCCTTAAATAAGAACTAGATGAAAACTTTTTATGACAAACATCACATTCAAATGGTTTATCTTCTGAATGAACTTTTTTGTGTGCATATAAACTAGAACTCTGAGAAAACTTTTTTTGACAAACATCACATTCAAATGGTTTATCTCCTGAATGAACTCTTTTGTGTGTATATAAATGAGAACTAAATGAAAACTTTTTATGACAAACATCACATTCAAATGGTTTATCTTCTGAATGAACTTTTTTGTGTGTACATAAACTAGAACTATATGAAAACTTTTTTTGACAAACATCACATTCAAATGGTTTATCTCCTGAATGAACTTTTTTGTGTGTATATAAATTATAACTCTTAGAAAACTTTTTATGACAAACATCACATTCATGAGGCTTATCTCCTGAATGAACTTCTTTTTTGTGTTTCGCTAAACCAGAATTCCTTGAAAACCTTTTGTGACAAACATCACATTCATAATGTCTAACTAGTAAATGAATTTTTTTGTGGCTGCTTAGAGCAGAACTATTAGAAAACTTTTTATGACAATCATCACATTCATATGGCTTATCCCCTGAATGAACTTCTTTATGTTTAATTAATCTAGAACTATCTGAAAACATTTTATTGCAAGCATCACATTCAAGTGGCCTCTCCCCTACTTCAGCTTGGTTATTCAAGTTAGAACTTGGAAAAAACTGTTCATGACGATCTACAGACAGATATGATTTGTTTTCAGAGAGTTTTAGCTTTTCTTCAAGTCCATTTTGTTGTTTGTCCTCAGAATCTAAAAATTTTGTCCATAAATCTGGTTTTATATCTTTGTTGGTTGATAAAGTTTCTAATTCTGGTTTTATATCTTCACTAGTTGATAAAATTGCTAATTCTGGTTTTAGATCTTCACTAGTTGATTTATTTTCTAATTCTGGATTTATATCTTCAGTAGTTGATAAAATTTCTAATTCTGTGTTGGTTGATAAAGTTTCTAATTCTGGTTTTATATCTTCACAAGTTGATAAAGTTTCTAATTCTGGTTTTATAATTTCAGATCTTGTACATACTGCTGATACAGCAGGTTCCATATCTTTAAAAATTAAAAATCCTGTTGTTTTATCTTGAGAAGTTAGAAATGTCATATGGTGTTTTACATCATCAAAAGAGGAAAATGTTGTACATTCTGACTTTGTGTCTGTAGAAGATGAAAAATCTGGCGTAACAACGGTTTTATCATCCTGTGAAGTTATAAATGTCAAGTTTGGTTTGATATCACGGAAAGTTAAAAATGATAATTCTGTTTTTATGTCAGAAGAAGATGAAAATACTGTAGATAGAAGTGGCTTCACATCTTCAGAATTTGAAAATTCTTTAAACTCATCAGACTGTAAATCTAAATCAGCAGTTGCCTCTCCCATGCTGCTTCATATAAATGAACTGAGGATTAGATATTTAAATGTTAAAGTGGTGATTATACAGATCTAGTAACTATAGTCAAAACAAAGTTTTTTCAATAAAACTTCTCAGATGCATATTAAAATATCTTAGAAATGAATTTAGATAGCTTAAAGTTAACACAATCAATAAACAATTTTAAAAATAAAATAATTAATGTATTGTATATGCCTAAGAGTGGCGGATTATGGTAGAAAATAAAATCAAACTTAAAATTTTTTTTGTTTTATACAATATTCGTACAAAATTAACATGCCATGCTTTTTAAATTGACAGAAGGTAAGTATACCATGTTACAAAAACTGCAATCATAACAATTCATATTTTCACTTAATAAAAAAAAAAAAAAAAAAAAAAACAATCATCAATGAGGAAAGCGCAACGCTTTATGTTTTTAAAATATGTGGCGACATGACAAATAATAAATCTGGCCAAATAATTGGCTTTGGGCGCAGCACACATCTAAACGCGCCTTGTTTTTCACAAGATTATAATAAAATGGCATTAATGGGGGGGGGGGGTATATGACTGGCATAGTGACCACACCTAAGGACATGAGAGTTATTCCTAAACCGTTGTTTAATCATACACGGCATAACATTAGAATCTTAGTTTAGAAGTTTATTTGATTGTAAGTTCATTTTAAAACAAGAATATACAAAGCTACTTTCACTAAAGTGTCGCTTGTGAGATAAATAAAGAAATTAGGTCAAAAGTACACCTTACTATTCTTAATTAACAGACTAATGCAATCTATGGTTTTATGTACATAAAATCTGCAGAGGTTAGTAATGTTAAAAAGCCAGTAGTGATCTCCCCTAAGCTTTCTCGAATATTCTTATATAACACTACAGCAGATTGGCAACTCAGGATATACTATATATAGACATGATTTTTAAATCCATGTTTAAGTACTTAAACTTTTAAAAATAGAATAGAATCTTGTAGAAAAAAAGAATTGCACACCAAAGAAATGCGAAACAAAGTGTGTCTAATAGTGCGGAATATTATTAGTACTTTATATATTCACAAGCATTTTTGAGAAATTAGAAATAGCGTCCATTACTACTTCTGGTCAACGGAAAATACTCTAAATTTGAAAGAAGGTGGAAAATTAGATCTTTTACTTACATATGAAATTTCATTTGGCTATCTAAAACAGAACTCTTTCTTCTTCTTCTTCTTCGTTCTTAATTATTAGTGTTGGAGGGGATCGAGAATTATCTGCCAGTGGGTTGGAACTCAAGACTTTGTTCGAATTTATCAACCATGAGCTTTTTGCCGACTCGACCACGCCTCCAACACAATTAAGCGTTTAGTGTCAACTTGTTATGCGCCATTGCGGCCATTGACTCCGATTTCAGCCTGCTTTTCTTTTTGGATTTGCTTCCATAGCCTTTGTCCAACCAAGAACAAACTACAAGGTAGCAGTTGTTTAATTTTGGAGTTGTCTCTTCTAGAAGAGTGGCTGACCCCAGCTAACAAGCCTCATCTGCCCGAGGGTTCGAACTCGAGACTTTTCGGTTTAGCAACCATGAGCTTTACCGACTCGACCACGCCGACCCCTGAACTCAAGTTATAGGCTTTTGAAAATTTAAAGTAGAATAAGTTCCACTTCCGGTTAATAGAAATCGCTGAAAAGTTGATACAGAACTAGAAATTTGATATAATGCTTATATATGAAATTTTATCAACCTAGCTGTAACTGTACTCAAGTTATCGTGTTCACAGACACACATACACTGAAAGAATTGCAAAGCCCAGTTTTTCAGACTCGATTATGCATAAAACGTCAAAAATTTGATAAATGTGGGTTTATAATTTTTGCCCGATTAAAATAAGTCTTCTATACTCCAGATGAAGGACTGAGGTGAAAAACGGTGAAAACCGTCAAAATTTCATGTTATTTATGTGCACTATCAGAATACTTTCTCTATACCCTGTATACGAGAAAGTAAAAAAAGGGTGACGTATCAAATTTTTGTAATTAGTTGGCATTTTTAGAAGGATTCACATTTTGAAAGCTACAAAAGTGTTACAAACTTTTGATGTGCTTGTTTTAAAACATCAGTAGTAAAACTTTTCAGTAATAAATAAAGATTAACGATGTTTTCACTTGATGCAACCAAGCACATTTACTAAAGCAGCCATCTTGTTAAAGTTTTTTGGTAACATTTAAGCTAGAGATTCAAGGGAAACTACCCTAATTTACAGTTGGCCGCTGTTTATATAGCAAATCTTGCTCGCAAACTAGGCTGTTTAAAGTTATTTTCTGGCTTATATTGATATATTTGGACATTGATTTTGGTTTATTATTCAATTATCTATTACTATTATATTTGACACAATTTGTGACAAAAATATTAGTATTACTCGCTACCTTGGAGGTGTGGATCATTGCTAAAATCAATATGATGTCCACACCAGATGCATGACTTTCAAAGATTTTTCATCTTAGCTCCAGTGACCTTCTTACAATTAGTTTTTAAAACTACTTGAGTGAGCATCTGTCTGTCACTACGCAAGCGAGATGCCTGTCATGCGCACTGCCAGTGATGCTGTTTAGAATGCATTTCTCATTAACTTGATCAATTTTAATGTGATTACTGTTTAAAAAAAATTGATACAAATCTTAACAATATTTTAAACTCAGCATGGACAAAGCTTTGTGAATAACACACAGGTTTCAAGTCCAGTAAGGGAGGAGGGTTAGATTTATTTTACAATGGCATAGCTATCATTTATAGCTATCATTTATAAATTGCCCTGATTTTAAACATTGCTAAAACACACTAATTAAGCCTAATCAAAACTGAAATAAACATGCATATGAATATCTTTTAAAAGTTTAGATCTAGATATATATTATTATATATTCTTAAACCTTTTAAACGTGATTATTTTTGGATTATTCATTAGCCTATATTAAAAAAATAGTAAATATGTTACATGACATAACCAAGTTACGAGCATCCTTTCAATTATGTTTTATTGACACATATTGACACTCCACCCTCCCCTCACTTGATCCTTTCTAACATCCAAGGTCCCTCTCCTGTTAATTTTGTGGACCAGATCTAAGAATGATTGTCATGGAAAAAGCTGTCCCAGCTAAGCTAAAAAGCACCAATAATTAAAATAATTAGCTTAAACCATCAAATGTAGTTAGTAGTTAGAGATATATCTCTAGTTTTCATGGGTATTGTTTATAAATAAAATAATAATAAGGAAGGCCTACAATTTAATGAATAGGCGTAGCCTAATATAAATATTTAATATTAATGATGAGTCACCTTTCTTGCACATTAGTATTACACTTTTAGGTAATCTATCGTTTTGGGTACGTAAAATCGCCCGCGATTTGTAATGTGAAAAACAGGTGACTCCTTAAATTTTAATAATTATTTCACATTTTGAGGAGGATTTATGTTTTAATAAATTCAAAAATGTTTCCTTGATTCATTTATGTACCTGTTTTTAAACAATTGAATTAAAACTTTTCCGTAATAAATGAAGACTAGCGATGTTTCCAACAGATGCAACCATGCTCATTTACTATAGCAGCCATCTTGTCTAAGTTTTATTTTTATAAGCTTTTAGCGCCAGATTCAGGGGGAAGCCACTCTATTTTACAAATGGCTGCTGTTTATATAGCAAATCTTGCTCTCAGACACTGCTGTTTAAAGTTAATTTCTGGCCTATATCGATATATTTAGCCATTGATTTGGGTTTATTATTCATTTATCTATAATATTTGACACAAAAGTATGACAATATACTTCTATTACAGCCTTGACAATGAGGTAACGTTTTCGTACATAAATAGCCGCGGGCGATTTTACGTACCCAAAACGATAGATTACCCACTTTTATTACACTAGCCTCTGCTGATTTTACATACGGTGACATACCTAAACCTAAAACTAGGCTAAAGCGATAGACTAGTAATGTGAAAATCAAATCAGGTGACACCTTAAATTAAAAATTTTAATATAATAATTATTTCACATGTTGATGTGGATTTATGTTTAAAAAATTCAAAAATGTTTTCTTGTTTCATTTATGTACCTGTTTTTAAACAATAATAATTGAATTAAAACTTTTCAGTAATAAATCAAGCGATGTTTCCAACAGATGCAACCATGCTCATTTACTATAGCAGCCATCTTGTTTGAGTTTTATTTTTATAAACTTACAGCGCTAGATTCAGGGGGAAGCCACTCTATTTTACAAATGGCTGCTGTTTATATAGCAAATCTTGATCGCAGACACTGCTGTTTAAAGTTAATTTCTGTCCTATATATTAATTATTAATATAATAATATTAGCGATAGGCCTACTCACTAATTTTAAATTTATTTATTTTATTAATTGGCCACTCCCAGCATTGCAAGCCAAAGAATCCATGACAACCATATGCCTATCTAAAGAAAAGAACTATGCAGGGTTGACCTTGCAGCTGATTTGATTTTGCAGAATATGCACAGTACATTTGATTTTATTACCACATTTCTATTCGTATGGACAGTGTCTTCGTCAGAATAAAAATCACAAGATGGAATTAGATCTAGATCTATATTTTTAAAAAATATTTGATTTCCTTTTTTTTAATGGAAGGATGTTTAAAAAGGAAAACTAAACCCAAATTAATGAAAAACATGTTTAAGAATATAATAGTATAGATCTAATCTTTTTAAAGATATTCAATCACATGCATGTTTTATTAACTAGTTGTAAACTAGTCCAGAGAACTTGAAAATAATTTGTTGAGTTTAAGGCTACATTTCTATTTATTTTAATCAAGCCTAAGTTATAACCGGATGTTTCACTTTCGTAAGACAAATATTGATTGGCTTTACAGTAACTTAGTGATCGATAACTATTTGTTTATAAAACTTTGCAGATCAACTTTTTTAATAACAATGCAAATTTAAAACCCCATGACATAGTTTTCTATTTTTAGCTTACAATGTGTACAATAAAATTTATGGCGGCCTATCCAATAGCAGGATGCCATTGTTTATGTCGCCATTACACGTGAAAACCAAATTGTTTTTGCTTTTTTTTTAATTTTTTATTTAGTTACCGAAAATATTAAAAACATCAAATACATCCAATCTTTAGTAAAGTCCGAAAAAAACCAGACAGACAGGATTTTATAACCATATTAATTGTAACTACGCCGTGCAAGATTTTTAAATTAATTTATAGACCTCTCAAATACCTTTGAGACTTTTCTCGCTGGTGTCCATTAGGGCAATACATAAAATATAGCGCGATGTCATTGTAAAATGAATCTAACCCTCCTCTTTCACTTGACTTGGGATAGGTGTGTTATTTACAAAGTTTTGTCGTTGCTCAGTTGAAAATATTGTTAAGATTTGTAAGTATTTGATTTATTTTTTTTAAAATCTGCAATAGCATTAAAATTGATAAAGTTAGCAAGAAATGCATTCTAAACAGCGTAACGGGCAGTGCGCGTTGTGGACATCTCGCTCGCGTGGGTGGGTTAAGCTAAATAACTTTTCTTGTTCAAACTTTAACAGTGGCTGCTGCATTACAGGCTAATTATGTTTTAAAACCTGGGAATGTTAAGTATTTGGCTGAATTTCAGAAATGATTTTGGACCAATTAAAATGTGACGGTAGCCTGTCGCTTGACCTACTTTTTTACCGTCGTCATGGTAATGACGGCTGCCGAATACGACGATAACGTGATTCCGTTTTTAACAATGTTTCAAGGTCATTTCAGAAATATATACTTAAAATCGTTTTTTGTGCACATTATTCAACGAGCCCGGTCTAGTTTTAAAAATGGACGATTAGTATTTGATGCGAATTTGCCATGTGTACATGTTTTTGGTCTAATCGCTGAGAATATCGGTAAATATATGTAGTTTTTAACACGTTTTTCTTAACTCAGCGTCGCGTTTGTGGGTTTGTTGTTAAAATTGACAACGAAAATTAGCCCACTTCTGAATGCTTTAGACATCTGAAATTCGGCATGCAGGCTATTTTCGCCTAACAATTTCAGATGCAATCATAAAAGCTAGAAATTAGAGACCTAAATTAGCTTAATTAAATTACGCCCCAAGGACCCTAAAATCGAGGACATGATTTCTCAAAAACGCATGTAAATTTATAAAGTACTAATAATATCCCGCACTTTTATACACATTTTATTAGGCGTTCACTTGGTGTGGGACGGAGTGGTCTAGCGGTAGAGAGCTGGACTGCTAACCCGTTAGTCTCGGTTTATAAAATGGGAAATAACTCTAGTTGACTTTTTTCTTTGACCAGATTGTCCACAGAGATCTGGCAGCTCGCAATGTGTTTGTCACAGACAGGGGCGTGTGCAAGATCACAGACTTCGGGCTGGCTCGATGGACACTGACCACTACGACAGGTCGTCCAAGGTTCGTAAGTTGGTTAAATTATGGGTAAATCGTCAAAGGTTCGTGAATTGCATTGGTTAAATTATGGTTAAATCGTCAAAGGTTCGCGAACTGCATTGGTTAAATTATGGTTAAATCGTCGAAGGTTCTTGAATTGCATTGGTTAAATTATGGTTAAATCGTCAAAGGTTCGTAAACTGCATTGGCTTAATTATGGTTAAATCGTCAAAGGTTTGTGAACTGCTTTAATTAAATTATGGTTGCATCATCAAAGATTCGTAAAATGCATTGGTTAAATTATGGTTAAATAGTCAAAGGTTCGTGAATTGCGTTGGTTAAATTGTGGATAAATCGTCGAAGGTTCGTGAACTGGTTGGCTAAATTATGGTCAAATCGTCGAAGGTTCTTGAATTGCATTGGTTAAATTATGGTTAAATCGTCGAAGGTTCGTGAACTGGTTGGCTAAATTATGGTCAAATCGTCGAAGGTTCTTGAATTGCATTGGTTAAATTATGGTTAAATCGTCAAAGGTTCGTAAACTGCATTGGCTTAATTATGGTTAAATAGTCAAAGGTTCGTGAATTGCGTTGGTTAAATTGTGGTTAAATCGTCGAAGGTTCGTGAACTGCAATGGTTTAAGGTAAATTATGTTTTCAGTTATTCGTCGAAGGTTCGTTAACTTCATTAGTTTGATTATGGTTTAATCGTTGTTTTTTTTAACTTGTTTTACTTTAAGTCCGGGAAGAAACTCCAACATTGGTCCAATTCAGTTGCCACATAATTTGGCCAGAAAATAATTGTTTTATCCGTAAAAAAAAAACATAAGCATGTGTCAATTTGTTGGCTTTAGCATTTGGTTAAAATATTTAAACTAAATATTATGTTTCAATGCATCCTATTGTGAGTTGGTGTGGGACGGCGTTGTCGAATGGTAGAGCGTTGAAGGTCAGCCCCAAAATCTCGAGTTCGGTCTTGGTTTTGATTAATCCACCCAGAGAGTAAAGACGATTGGGCATAGTGCCGAGGTCAAGAAACATATGAACCCTTATCTGCACAATGGATCGCTGCGTCTAAAGAAAGTATTTTTTACTTACTATATTGCTAGTTGATGGCAAATCCCAATGTTGGTTAACCTTGCTATGGCTTACATTATTATGACATTGATTCCGTTGTAGAATCTTCCAACTGTGTTTTATTCGTTTCAAGCATTAAGTTTCGTACTTCATTTTAGATTCGAACCCGTTAACGTTAAAGCGGCGTAGGTGAAGTAGATTATAAAAGAAATGGTAGGTGAATGATAAATCTAGTTTAAAACAAGTGTTTTTCTAAACTTGACAGGGCCCACTGCCGGTTAGATGGTTGGCACCAGAAAGTTTGATCGACAGAACACACAGCACCAAATCTGACGTCTGGGCCTACGGCATTCTTCTGTGGGAGATTGTTACGCTAGGTGAGTTCATAGGTTTACACTGGGGGGGGGGGGGGGTTCTGTACGGAATTGGAGGGGGGGGGCTATCTTTGGGTGAGTCTATTGTTTTACTTTAGTTGGGGAGGAGGTGGGGGGTGTAGATTGTAACTCTGGGCAAATTCATAAAGCAGGCGCATGTAACCTTCACCTTGAATGTCTTGCAAACAACAGTCTGATTGCAAACGATACACTTTTGTGTTGATAGATGGGGTGAGAGCAAACTTTCTAGACAGCAAACAAATACAACGAAATAGCATTAGCTTCCCATGACACTGTGTCATGCAGAAGGGCTTCACAAAATGTGTACATTAATACTATTATATAATTTAATACACGGAATACCGTGATGGATCTGAATAGATCAGCCTTCAAGATAAAACAAACAGTACCTGTGATGTAAAAGATACTGGGAGAACCTGGCAATAGGGCTGGTAAGTACGTCACCAACCAGTTCTATGGCTCATGCAGGTCTTATTGAGCCGTAGAACTGGTTGGTGACCTACTTACCAGCCCTATTTTGTTCCAAATGTCCAGCCTAGATTTCATTTTCTCGCACCACACCCACCCCACCCCAAGTTGACAAAATATCGATCTAAAGAGTTTGATCATTGATTTCAGGTGCCAGTCCTTACCCCGGGTTGTCTGCCCATGATGTCTTCAAGTTTGTTAGCGCTGGCAACCCTAACCCACCCACTCACAACCCCACAAACTCAACTCCAACAATCTTACACAAAATCCCACCCACCACGCAATCCCGCACAACTCAACTCCCACACAAAATCCCACCCCACACAATTCCATACACAAACCCACCCCCACAATCCCACACAACTCACCCCCATACATAATCCCACCCATTCATAATCCCACACAAACTCCCACCCCCATACAATCCTACAACTCAACTCCTACAATCCCACACAAAATCCCACCCTGACACAATCCCACAACTCACCTCCCACAATCCCACCTCCCACAATCCCACACACAACGCCACCCCAACTCCCCCATAACCAACCAACTAACCCTAACCCTACCCGTCCCCAGATACGAGCTCATGTGCAGCTGCTGGTCCTTCCTCCCAGAGAACCGTCCAACGTTTGATGCCCTGTGTCGCAGGTTCGAGACTCTGCTGGAAAAGGAAAAAGATTACATCAATCTGAAACTATTCCAGAGCGAACAGTACGCTTGTCTTGATGCGGACATAATGGATGAGAAGTTATAGGGCATAAAGCTGGTTGGATTAGAAGATATAGGACATAAAGCTGGTTGATTGAGAAGTTATAGGACATAAAGCTGGTTGATTGAGAGGTTATAGGACATAAAGCTGGTTGATTGAAAAGTTATAGGATATAAAGCTGGTTGGATGAGAAGTTATAGGATATAAAGCTGGTTGATTGAGAAGTTATAGGATATAAAGCTGGTTTGATTGAGAAGTTATAGGACATAAAGCTGGTTGGATGAAAAGATATCGGACATAAAGCTGGTTGATTGAGAAGTTATAGGACATAAAGCTGGTTGATTGAGAAGATATAGGACATAAAGCTGGTTGGATGAGAAGAAATAGGATATAAAGCTGGTTGATTGAGAAGTTATAGGACATAAAGCTGGTTGATTGAGAAGTTATAGGATATAAAGCTGGTTGATTGAGAAGTTATAGGACATAAAGCTGGTTGATTGAGAAGTTATAGGATATAAAGCTGGTTGATTGAGAAGTTATAGGACATAAAGCTGGTTGATTGAGAAGTTATAGAACATAAAGCTAATTGGATGAGAAGATATAGGACATAAATTTGGTTGGATGAGAAGAAATAGGATATAAAGCTGGTTGATTGGGAAGTTATAGGACATAAAGCTGGTTAATTGAGAAGATATAGGACATAAAGCTGGTTGATTGAGAAGTTATAGGACATAAAGCTGGTTGATTGAGAAGTTATAGGACATAAAGCTGGTTGATTGAAAAGTTATAGGATATAAAGCTGGTTGATTGAGAAGTTATCTATATACTACTAAAAGTCCAGTTTGTTTACATGTTTGAATATTTATTTATTTTTTTTTTTGTTTGGCTGATCGAGTATTGTGAATACTTCTATTCATCGTGGACAGCTGTAAAATAGTATGTAGGTAGAGAAAAATTTTTGTTTTAAGACAGACTGTTAATCACACATTTATTTAAAGACGTTAATTAATTTATTGATTTATTCATAGGTAGATTAACCACTTTTTTTAAAAAAGATTACAAAAATCACTAGACTCGACGGAAACTTTGACGTCACATGATGTGTTTATTTTTTTACATCCATAATGGCGGCCTATCGAAGAAGATTGTGTTCCCATTCCAATGTTTAACGCGTTCTAAAGCTAATTTTCTGTCGGCTTTAACTTTAACAATACGTCCGTTTGCTGTATTTATTACGTTCCAACACTTATATCAATTTTCAACTGTCTTTTTCATTTAGTTTTACGATAAATTTCTCTAGATCTACAATCTGTCCAAGAAAGTTATTTATAGATCTAGATCTAGAATCTAGGTCAAATCAAAGATTTATTAGTTATAAATACAATCCAAAAAAAATAAACCGGGAGTGATCTCCCCTAAACTTTCTCGAATATTTTTATATAAAATAACAGGGGATGGGAACTCGGGCTATAGACATGATGTTTAATCCATTTTAAATACTTAAAGTTTTAAAAATAGAATAAAATCTCATAGACAAAATATTTGCACACCAAATGAACGCTAAATAAAAAAAGTGCATAATAGTTCGCAATATTATTAGTACTTTCAAAATTTACATTAGTTTTTTGAGAAATCGGAAGTAGCGTAAATTACTACTTCCGTTCAACGGAAATGACTCAAAATTTAACAGAAGGTAGAGAATTAGATCTTTTACTTACATGTGAAATTTCGTTTATCTATCTAAAATAGTACTCAAGTTATAGGCTTTTGAAAAATTCAACGTAGGAAAAGTACCACTTCCGGTTATCGGAAATCGCTCAAAAGTTGATACTGTGACCTACTTAGGTCTAGTAATGTTTTATTTTTAGTTTGACATTTGTTATAATACCATATAGGGTCTGTGGTGCAATAACCGGTTTTTTTTCGCTGTCTTACTAAGAGAGTCTTAGACTCAGAAATTTTCCATCGAGAGATGATTGATTGTTTCAGACCAGATGACCACCCCAACCAATGGTCTTATGATTTGAAGGTGACCTTCCATGTTACCTAAGTCTATAAATAGATCGCCCCCAGGTGTCTCGCGGCAGTCTTTGGTCAGACGTCGTTGAAGAGAGCTAAGCCCTGTGTGTTGCCGTGCAGTATTAAGTTGTTATATTACTTGTGAATAAGTAATTCGTTATGCTTATACCAGTGTTATGTATACAGTGGTGATTTTTCTGAAGTGTTAAAAGCTGTGATAGTGTATCATACTATTTATTCCCACGAATTGTAAGTTGGGTTTTGATCATTCTGTATATCCATTTTATTCTTGTTTAAATCTAGTGTTCTGCCACGACTTTGTATACTCATTACAAGTTATATGCAGATTAAAGGTTTTGTTGGCATCATTAGTTTCTCTAGTGTTTCCCCTAGACATCAATTACGAGTCCTAGCGAACTAGTGAGTCAATTTTCTTTTATTTAGGCTTGTCGCCATCTGTGTGTAATCAGTTAAACGAATCCGGGAGCGTTCGCCATCTATCTGGCTGATAGATTGGTGTCCGTTACAATACGGATCTACAATTTTGATAAAATACTTATATATGAAATTTCATCAACGTAGCTGTAACGGTACTCAAGTTATCGTGTTTACACACGGACAGACAGACACACAGACATACGGACAAGATTGCAAAATTATGTTTTTCCGTATCAGTGAGGTGTAAAACGTCGAGATTTGTAAAAATCTCGATTTTTTTTTTGCACGATTACAAGACTTTCTCTATACTTCGTATATACGAGAAAGTAAAAAACGAGACTTAAGCAAACCAGTCGTAGATCTAGATTCTAGAATATAGATAATTCTATCTAGATTTATTAGATAATAATGAGTTTCTATATACTAAAATATTTTAGACCTTTATTATTTTGTATAAATCTTTGTTTTGACTATGCAAATTTTGAAATGCTGGATCCGGGCCTATTCGCGTAGCTTAAGATTCAAACGCGGCTTCGATACCGCTAATTTTGCTAAATTATAAACGTAAATTCTAAATATAGCTCAGTCGTAGATCTAAAATATAGATAATTCTATCTAGATTTAGTTAATAATGATTTTCTATATACTAAACTATTTTAGACCTTTATTATTTTATATAAATCTTTGTTTGGAATATGGTAATTTTGAAATGCTCGCTCCCGGGCCTATTAGCGTAGCTATTAGCTAATGATTAGATCTAGAGAATCTAGATTCTAGATCTAGCAAGAAAAACTAAACTTAAGACTAAAGCAAACGAGTAGTAGAATCTAGATCTAGATAATTCTATCTAGATCTAGATAATTTCAGACCTTCTTTATTTTATATAAAAATCTTTGTTTGGCTAATTTAAGATAAAATTTAATTTGAAAGTTACTACTACTAGACTTAGATCTAGATCTATGCGCGTAAATCAAGTTGCATAAGGAGACTCGAAGTATAGTACAAAAATTCACTTGTGACGTCACGAGTAAATAGCTAAGTTGGTAGTGTAATCGGCTCTCATGCGGGTGGCACAGGTTCTAGACCAATACGTCAATGATATTTTTATTTTTTTTTAGATGTGAATGATAAAGTTGCCTATCTGAACTTGGCAGGATACAGGGCAGGTGAAGTAGAGTTCATCTGTTTCTTTGTCCTAAGCATATGAAAGGAAAGTGTGGTCAGAGACATGCTCGGCTGGAATCGTTTTTTAAACGATAAAAACATGTTGTCTGCGACTTGGCGGGACACTGGGCAGGTGAAGTAGAGTTGAGTAGGTCACCTGTGACGTCAGTATATGAAGGGATAGTCCGAAATCGGTGTTTTCGGTGTTTTTAAAAGATAAAAATCATATTTTTGAATGTGGGGTCTGTTTTTTGTGACGATAAGTGACACTGCAGTAGCGTAGCGAGGAGGGAGGGGGGACATATGTCCCCGGGCGCCGACCTTAGGGGGCGCCAAAATGGGTTGGAAAAATAAATTGAAAGGTTGAGGGGGTGCAAATCGAAAGTTTGAGTGGGGGGGGGGGGGTTCAAATCAAAATCTTGAGGGGTAGGGGGGGGGGGTGCACATAAAAATCCTGCGGGGGGGGGGGGGGGGGGATTCAAATCGAAAAGTTTGTCCCCGGGCGCCGGGAAGGGTTGCTATGCCTCTGAGTGACAGACGTGATGTTTTTTGATGGATGACCCCCGAAACCCACAGTTATCCAACGGATGACGGATAGTCTAGTAGGATATAAAGCTGTTTGGATGAGAAGTTGTAGGACATAAAGCTGGTTGGATGAGAAGAAATAAGAGATAAAGCTGGTTGCTTGAGAAGAAATAGGATATAAAGTTGGCTGGATGAGAAGAAATAAGATATACATTTGGTTGGATGAGAAAAAATAGGATATAAAGCTGATTGATTGAGAAGTTATAGGATGTAAAGCTGGTTGATTGAGAAGTTATAGGACATAAAGCTGGTTGATTGAGAAGTTATAGGACATAAAGCTGGTTGGATGAGAAGTTATAGGACATAAAGCTGGTTGGATGAGAAGATATAGGACATAAAGCTGGTTGGATGAGAAGAAATAGGATATAAAGTTGGCTGGATGAGAAGAAATAGGATATAAATTTGGTTGGATGAGAAAAAATAGGACATAAAGCTGGTTGATTGAGAAGTTACAGGACATAAAGCTGGCTGATTGAGAAGATATAGGACATAAAGCTGGCTGGTTG